CCACCCTCCTCTCAAGCCACTGTGAGGTGTCCAGGACCTGGGTGCCTCACCCCTTCCTCACCCCCTCCTACTGCTGAGCCAGGAGGTGATTTGCAACCTTGCTCCTCATTACATTCCAATCACCAATGTTTTACTTTGCTTTTGCTTTTTCAAAAAAAAAAAAAAAACACCTTTGAAAACAGTTCATCCTCCACTTGCAAGTGTCAGCATCCCATATGGCCACTGGTTCATGTCCTGACTGCTCCACTTCCAATCCAGCTTCCTGCTTATGGCCTGGAAAGGCAGTGGAGGATGACCTAAATCCTTGGAGCCCTGCAACCACGTGGGAGACCTAGAGGAGGCTCCAGGATTCAGAGCAGCTCAGCTCTGGCCACTGCAGCCATTTGGGGAGTGAACCAGCAGATGGAAGATCTTTCTGTCTCTCCTCTCTCTAAATATGCCTTTCTAATAAAAATAAATACATATCAAAACCTCTCTCCCTATTTATTTCTCTCTCTTTTCCCCCATTTTTCTATCATTTTAAAATTCTTTCAGACACCATAAATAAATCATTTTGTACTTCAGCCTGGTACACTTCTGACCACCAGTGCGTCCAATAAATTCTGCCCCACCCCAACCAATACCATCCACTTGAATCACCAACCAAAAAGAGGGGAAAAAAGTAAAAAAAAAAAAAAAAAGATTGGGTAGATTTAAAAGAAATCATAATAGAACTTCTAGGAAAGAGGATTGTAGTAATTGAAATTAAAAAGTCAATGGACGGGCTTGACGGATTAGACACAGCAAAGGGAATGGGAGGTTAGACGTGGAAAATGTGCAGGAAATGGGGATGCTAAGTATTGACATTTTCTGTAGAAAGAGTGAAGATATTACTTAGCTTTCTATTAGCATGTTCTTAAGTATGCACTTTAATATCAAAGGGTAACAGCTAGGAACAAAGTGACTTCCGAATCAGTAGAGGATAAAGCAAAACTGAATGAGGCGGAGACCTCACTGAACCCAAAAGAAGGCTCAGAGAGAAAAGAAGCACGGATAGGAAAAGGAATGCATATAAATGAGAAAGAAATAGGTGGAACCTGCAGAAGAAGGGAGCTCTGACATACCAATACACCTGTGATTATGACAAGGCCAATAGACCTTGAAACATAAAAAAAAATGTTTGTGATACATTTAAAACATTGGGAAACAAAAGGTTGAAAATAAAAAGGATGGAAAAGATTTACCAGGCAAATCTATCAAAAAGGAGGCTGAGATAGCAATATTAATATGAATCATTATCACTCCTGCCACCGCTGCTACTTATTGCACATCACACACCAGCAAAGTCTCAATGCCAAGGCCACCCCTCCAGGGCAGATGTTTGACGCTTCGTGAAAAGCGCAGGTGACAAGCATCCCACCAACTCGCTGCCCGGCGCCCGAGCACACCTGCACCTCGGCCTCTAACCACCGTTTAGTTCCGGCCATCTTGGATCCGTTTGGCCTTGTCCTAAGTGCAGGATGAATTCTCCGATTCCTGGCCTCTGTGGCACAGCGGGGTCGGAGTGGGTGCCAAAGGCTAAGCCACCACATCCCGGCTCTGTGTGTCACAGCGTCATCTGCTTTCAGCTGGTGGATCTGGCAAGTTGTAGCCATGAGACCACAGGGACTAAGACAGGGCTAGGTGAAACCACAGATTCTTTCCCGGGTCACCAGGTGTGATCTCGGAGAGCTGGTGGCCTCTCAGCTGCCCACGTGTGAAATGGACACAGTGCCGCATATGCCTCGGAGAGCTGCTCATGTGTGCTGTGGGATGACTCTGGGGCTGGCCTGGGCCCACCCGGTCACCCTTGGGAGCTGTGGCTGAAGCAGGGCAGAGGGCTCAGAGGACCGCAGACGGGAGGGGTAACTGTCCTTCTCTTGCCTTCTCCTGTAGGTAGCTGCCGCCCAGAGAGAGAGAGAGAGAGAGACTGGCCGGCTGCCTGGGGCAGAGCTGGCCTCAGCCTGCTCTCCTGCCCTCGGGTCTCACACAGCAGCCTCCTAGCCCAGCACCCAGGCCCTTTGTTGCCATTGTGAGGTAACCCCCAGCGCCTGCCCACCCTGCAGGGGGGGCTTTTCAGGTTGCTCTGGACCATTTGAAGTTGCTGGAATCATCCTCACCGCATGTTGCTGCCTCCTGCCTCCTCTCAGGTGGCCCTGACTGACAGCACCAAAGACTCAGACCGCAGGCTGAGTGACAGGTCAGAGGGGTCCATGGGAGGGAAGTGGTCACCACAGGACAGCTGGGGACAGGGCAGTGTGAGTCCAGTCAGTTCTTGGCAGAGATCCCCCAGCTAGTGTGGCCTTAAATTCATATTCACATTTGAAAATGCATGCCCTTGGTCATTTTGATTCAAAATCTGAGAACTTCAGAGCTGGAAGCAACTGTAGAGAGCAGGCTCCCGGAAGCGATGGATGGAAGGGGTGGTGCCATTGGTCCAGAGCATGCAGGAAGATGGGCAGGGACCCACTGGGCAGGACTCACCTGGGGGCATCTCCTGGCTCGTTCCTGCTGAGGGCTGAACATGGGCTGGCAGGAAGAACAAAGACAAATTTATGTCTTTCAAGGCAACTAAGTGCAAAAGGACTAATTCTCCTAAGATTTCGGAGCAGCACAAGCCCTTTTGGTGTAGACGGAAGCTTGACATGCCGGATCCCATCTGATCCTCAAACGATCCCGGGAGAGAGGCTAAGTCAGGCGGGGTTTTCAGCCTCACTTTCCTGAAGAGATACGTCTTACTCAGGAGATGCGGCTGGGAGATGGAGCAAGGCTTTCCAGTTTTTTTTTCTGCCACCCAGATGAAGGGTGTTAACCCAACAGGGAGCCACCAGGGCCACGCCCGGCATGTGAGCACTTGGCCCAAGCAGGAACTTGGAAGCTCGGCCTCCAGGACCGTGCTTGCCAGCATGAGGGAGCATCCCAGTTCCCTGGGTAGCATCTCCAAATCCAAACCTGGGTTCCTTATGGAGCAGGTGTGGAGTGGGGCCCCCGAATGTGCACTTCCGTGCAGGAAAGCTTTCCTTCTGTATCTGCACAAGGATTTGGGCTTCGTCACGTGCCTTTCTTCCTTTAGTGTGGCTCTCATATAGGTTAGCTTACATCCTTCCCTTCCAGGGATGAGCCATGCTTGGTCTCAAGGCACAATGTGTGTGATGTGCTATTGAATTCAGTGTGTACATCTTTTGCCTGGAGGCTTTTATATGCTGTTCATCAAAGAAAGAAGCCCGTAGCTTTCTTTTCATGTGAGGCATGAAAGCCGTGCCGGCTGAGCACATGGGTGTGAGGCAGCGAGTCCAGCTCTGTGCAGGGGTGGTTTCAGAGCACTTGTATTCTTTAAATGCTTGGTAACATTTAGCTAGAAAACCTTCTGGTCCCAGGCTTTCCTCTGTTGGGAGGGTTCCAATTATTTCTTGGTTTTCACTTGCCGGTTCACTCCTCAAATGGCCAAAAATGGCTGGAGCTGGGGTTGTCTGAAGCCAAGAGCTTCATCTGGGTCTCCCATATAGGTGCAGAGGCCCAAACACTTGGGCCATCCTCCACTGCTTTCCTAGGTCCTTAGCAAGGAGGTGGGTTGGAAGTGGGGCAGCCAGAACACAAACTGGGCCCTGTATGGGATGCCAGCATGATAGGCAGAAGCTTAGAAGAATTCTGCCATGGTGCTGGCCCCAGTTCCTCCTATGATGGATGCCTACTTTCATTCCATCGTGTTTGGGGGCAATATTAGATATTGTTTCAATGTTCTTGAATTTCTTTTTTTCTTTTAATAGAAGCTTTGGGGGGATACTCTTAAAAAAAAGATTTATTTATTTGAAAGGCAGAAATATATAAAGAAGGAGATACAGAGAAAAATATCTTCCATTCACTGGTTCACTCTCCAAGCAGACACAGTGGCTGGAGCTGAGCTGATCTGAAGCCAGGAGCCAGGAGCCTCTTCCAGGTCTGCCACATGGATCCAAGGTCCCAAGGCTTTGGGCCATCCTTGACTGCTTTCCCAGGCCACAAGCAGGGAGCTGGATGGAAAATGGAGCAGGCAGGACACAACCAGTGCCCATATGGGATTCTGGTAGTTGCAAGGTGAGGATTTAGCCACTGAGCCATTGTGTTGGTCCCAGTGTTTTGAATTCCTAAAGGTGTTTCGGTGGCCTATCCTGGAGAATATTCCTTGAACTAAAGAAAGTTCTGCATGAGTCAAAAGTGCAGCCCAAGCCCAGTATCTCCTTACTAATTTCCTATCTGGTTGATCTCATTGTTGAAAGAGGGGAACTGAAGTCTCCTCCTAATTGTTTCTGCTCTCTGTTCCTCCCTCCATGGTCATTAATATTAGCTGTGCATATTTAAGTGTTGGGGACGTATATTTGCAGCTATAATGTTTTCTGATAAATTGGCCATTTTATCACTAAGTGAAGAATGTCTTTTATGGCAAGTTTTGACTTGTATTCTGTTTTTTTTTTTTAAAGAAAAACCTGCAAACAGGAGTACGAAAGAGAATACATCTAGATAATACCTTTCATACATATTAGATGTTTTAGATGTTGCCATCAATCTAAAGTATCACTGTAAAACTTAAATATATAAACACAAATGTTCCCTGACCTCACGTTCCCATTTCCAGAAGCAGGTGCAAGTGAAACTTTGTGTATCTAGACATTGGACTTGCTGATGTTTAAAAAACCGTTTATCTCTTGATTGTAAATGCAATACGTGTTCATTAAGATGTATTAAAACACATATGAAAATTAGCAATCTTTCACAAGCTCACAACTCGGGGAATGATGTTTTTCCCAAAACTGCATCTTTCAAGATCAACGCCTCCTTCCCAAGAACAGGGTCCGTGCTGCAGTGGCAGCAGTAGGCCGCCAGGTGGTGCTATGGGGCAGGGGTGCGGAGCAAGGCGAGCCGAGTGGTGCACGTGACTCTGGCCTCCGGCTGGAGCGCTCCTGTCACGTGATAGGGCCCGGAAGCAGCTGTCCGGCTGCCCGGGAAGGATGATGAGGGGTCGGCGCTGAGACTGGGAGGTGGGGTCAGTCTGACGCCGGCAAGAGTCCGGGCTGGACAGGGAATCCAGCGGTGAGTGACTGCGGCCAGCGCCTCGGGCGGGGCTCACCCACGTCGTCCTCCGCCCGGGGGAGCAGGTGCTCCGGGTCCGGGACGACTCCCCCGGATGCCGGGTGGCTGCTGCGGTCCCTCTGCACCGGTGGGGTTGGGGTCTGCCCTGCTGTTGGGCACGTCGGGGAGCGGTAGTGTTCAGCAGGGGCTCTCGTCCCCACCGTCCTTCCTGAGGAGAGCCGGGCTCACAGATGGTGCCAGCCCTCCCCGCCTGGGAAGGTCCTTTGGTGCACCTGGCCCAGGTGGGGTCTTGCCTGGGGTCACGGGTGAGCGGGGCTGGGGTCACGGGTGAGCGGGGCTGGGGTCACGGGTTAGCGGGGCTGGGGTCCGCGGCCAGCTCCTGCAGCTGCTTGCCTCCTGCAGGGATCTGGACCCGTGGACAGCGCCCTCTGTCCCTTTCCGTTCTCGTGGAACCTTGTCCGGTTGTAGCTCTCTCGCGGTCTCCATTGGTTGGACTGGCTGCGGGTGTGGTTCCCCTGTTTGCTCATGATTTTTTTTCTGCAAACTCATCATTCTGTGGGGTCGTTTCCTAAGGGATCTGCAGTTCCGTGCAAATTTACCAAAATGTGAGCTGTGACTCGGTGGGTGTTCAGAGGGTGTTGGTGGCTCGGCGGAGGTTGCAGAGAGCCTGATAGCCCGTTGAGGAATGGGAGGACCTTTGCTTTCTTTGGCCTGCCACCCGCTAGGTTTGAGCCAGGCCGGTGGCTTGTGTGGATCCCGGAGTGAAATAGCAGCATGGTGTCATGGGCAGAACTGGGACAGGAGAACTGGGAGGCCGTTCTCTATTGGCCACGATGCTGCGACTCCCACCCTCAGCTGGGTTCCAGTTCTGCCTGTGCCACCAGGCGGTTGAATCCTTGAGAGCCCTCTGCCCTCAGGCTCTTTATCTAGGTCTCGCTCTCTGCGTTTCTGTTCGGAGACATTGTTTCTTTCCTGTGTGCTTTCAGTAACATCCTTGCAAGGAGACCTATCTCATCTCTGTCCAGGAAGTGGTCTCTGTCAGTGTGTTCTTGGGTTACCATGAAGTCCTCCTCCACTCAGCATTTTGTCTGCGTTAAATGCCAGTAGCTCCGAGTGATTTTAACTGTCTTTTATGATTTTAAGCACCATGAAGGCCCTCTTGGGCTTCTTGACTGGGACTTGGCTTGCAGTAGTTAGCGCACCTGTCCATTTAGAACATTTTTTCTTTAGAGATGCTCTCAAAACCAGGAAGGACGGTCATGCAAAAGGCATGGTTGGTCGGTCTGAGTGTAGCACTGTGTGAGGTGAAGGCCCTTTGCCATGATGTGTGAAGTCTCGCTCTGTCTTCAGATCGTGTCACTTACAATGGCCTGCTCCTGATACCTTGTTTTCCTTTAAAATTGTAGGGCTCCTGTCGCTGGAATTAGCCAGTGCTGTGTCTGCTGCAGTGGTAGTGTTGGCATGCAAGATTCTTTTTATTTATTTCTTTGAAAGGCATCGTTATATAGAGAAGAGACAGAGATCTTTTATCTGCTGGTCCACTCCCCAAATAGCCATACAATGGCTGGAGTTGGGCCAGTCCAAAGCCAGGAACCAGGAGCTTCCTCCGGGTTTGCCACAGAGGTATGTGGTCCCAAGACTTTGGACTGTTCTCTGCTGCTTTCCCAGGCCACAAACATGGGGCTAGGTGGGAAGTGGAGCAGCTGGGACACGAACTGACATTAGTGGAACACTGGCGCCACAGGAGGAAGCTCAGCCTACTTTGCCATGGCACCAGCCCCCCTGGGTTCCTTTTATATTGTAGTGTTCCAGAGACTATACCCTGCCACCAGAGGGCGCTGCTGCTGTGAATTATTTGCAGGGATGTTGTGGATGAGTTGATAATGCGGGGCGGCAACTTTAGCTAGTTTTCTTACAATTCAGAGGCTTTGTGGAATTCTTGGCTGGGCTCCTTGGCAGGTGGGATGTGAAGGAGAGCGGTTAGAGATGTCCATCTGTGAGATTACTTCATTTCTCCCTTGCCTCAGAGCACTGTTCTCACAGTCAGTGCTTTTCTTCTTTGAGAAGCAGACAGATCTCCCACTCACTGATTCTCTGAATATCCCCAACAATTGAGGCTGGGCCAGCCCAAGGTCAGGAGTGAGGAGCTCAGCCTGTGCCCTGTGGGTGGCAGGGTTCTAACTGCTTGAGCCATCACCTGCTGCCTCCTAGGGTGTGTGTGAGCAGGCAGCGGGGGTCGGAGCAGAGCCAGGGCTTGAACCCAGACACTGTCGTATGGGATGCAGGCATCCCAGGCCTGGCGGCCATGGGTGCACCAAGCGTTCACCCTCTGTCTCAGTCCTTTAGATGCTGGATGTTGCTTCAAGGATCAGGTGCTGAGAACTCCCTGCAGTGATCTTCTCTCCCCCTGAGCTGGAGCGGGATCCTGGACTTGGGCCAAGGGAAGCATCTGCTCTTTCTGCCTTCACTGGCCTGGGCCCGCTAAGACCCACGGATGTCTGTGACCACCCTACCAGCACCTGGCAGGCCCTTCTTTCCTTGTAATAAGCTCACATTGGGTCTGTTGGCCTCGGTCTCTCCTTTGGCCAGGCTGCACCTGGCTAAGCATAGAACTCCTTCTGTTTCAGGAGTGAGGGGTCTTGGGGCTGGAACATTCTAAACATATGCAAAAAGAAATCATGTGATGCTGTGTTTTTTTTTTTTTTTTTTTTGCAAAGATTTATTTTATTTATCTGAAATACAGAGTTGAAGAGGGGTGGGGAAGAGACACAGGTATTCCATCTGCTTGTTAACTCCCCAAATGGCCACACTGGTCAGGCTGTGCCAGGCCAAGGCCGGGTGTTTGATCTGGGTCTTCCATGTGGGTGCAGGAGCCCAAGCATTTGGCTACCCTCTGCTGCTTTCCCAGGAGCATTAGCAGGGAGCCGGATCAGAAGCGGAGTAGCCAGGACTCTGAGCAGTACTCATATAAGATGCCGGCACCACAGATGGCAGCTTAACCTGCTATGTGACATAATGCCGACCCCCTGAATTTGGTCTTGTCATCTCTTTGATCCCCAGAATGCCAGTGCTAGGGACCTGAAGTCAGGGTCCAGGAACCCCACCTGGGTCTCGCACATGAGCACAGGGGCTCAGGTACTTGGACCATATGCTGCTGTCTTTCCAGGGAGTATCAGCAGGAAGTTGAATTAGAAGCAGAACAACCCCGGCTAGAACCAGTGCTGCAACATGGAGTGTAGGTGTTGCAAACTGTGGCTTAATGTGCTATGCCACAACACCACCCCACTGATGTTTTAGAGCAAATGATGGAGAAGCCATGTGTTGTCGCTTCCCTCTTCATGCGCCACAAAGAGCATTGCAGCCTGGGTCCCCCTTCGTGACCTCAGAATCACAGCAACAGAGAGGAGAAAATGCATCTAGCAAATTTGCTGCTTCTCTGGGTTCCAAAGTCCAACCCAGAGTAACGAACAGCACTTTCACTCTGCAAATATTGTGAGTGCGTGACCCCGGCAGGAGGCGAGCCTGTGGTGTACCCTTCGTAATAACGTCTTAGCTGCTACTTTTGTGGAGTTGTGTGTAAATCAAGCAGTAATCAGGACTTTCTAGGAAGCTGATTACTGCCATAAACTCAGGTAGAATCAGATAGGCACAGAAACATGTTTGCTTCTGGTATTTCCCTTGTTTTATCTCTGCCAGTATATCTAAGATGTTATCATTATGGCAAATCAGTCATAAGATAATTCACAGTTTTTGATACCAAGTCACTGAAATCCAGCGTGAACATATGTCAACTTGACAACTGTGTTTCATGTGCTTGGGAGCTATTGGCTAGCAGATGGCATGGCATAGGTTGAGAATATTTTAATGTATTAAGGCTTAATTCTTTTTTTTTTTTTCTTTTTGAGCCTCTCTGGCCATTAAAATTTTGAAATTGGAATTATGTTTTTTTTTTTCTAAAGGGAGAATATACTTAGAAATTATCTGATGGAATCCCCTTGCTCCAACACCTAAATAATCCAGTAATCGGACAGGAAAGCAGGACTTTCCAACAGCTAGGTTTTGTTCTCCTGAACCCCAGAACACTATAGTTCTAAAATGAAAAGGTTAGTTTTTAAATGTATAAGAAGAATTGCTGACCTTCCCTAAAGAAGCAGTCTCTAGAGAAATGTCCCTAAGGATTGTCCGCCCCTCTGGCTGAGGCTCCTGTGGGCACCGTGGCACGGCACGTTAGGCCAATGCTTGAGAGACTTGCATCCCACCTGGGGTACCCAGAATGGAATCATCTTTGCTTCTGATCCCTCTTGCTGCTGTGAGGGGGCAGCAAGTCCTGGCTCAGGTGCTTGAATCTCTGCCACACATGTAGGAAAACCAGATGTAGCTGCCTACACATGGGGGAAAGCCAGCGCCTGACTTTGGCCTTGTCCAGCCCCGGGTGTTGCAGGCATTTGGGAAGTGAATGAGCAGATGGAAGATGCCTCTCATTCTCTGTTGCACTCCCTTGCAAGTAGTTTTTTTTTTTTTTCAATATTTTATTTTTATTATTTTTTCATTGGAAAGGCGGATATACAGAGAGGAGAGACAGAGAGGAAGATCCTCCGTCCGATGATTCACTCCCCAAGTGAGCGCAACGGTCGATACTATGCCGATCCGAAGCCAGGAGCCTCTTCCGGGTCTCCCACATGGGTGCAGGGTCCCAAAGCTTTGGGCCGTCCTCGACTGCTTTCCCAGGCCACAGGCAGGGAGCTGGATGGGAAGCGGGGCTGCCGGGATTAGAACTGGCACCCATATGGGATCCCAGGCATGCAAGGCGAGGACCTTAACCACTTGCACCACTGCGCTGGGCCCCACAAATAGTTTTTTTTTTTTTTGAAGACTCTGATTAAGATACCCTCAGCTTCCAGCTAGTGTGGATCCTAGGAGACAAAGGTGATGCGCCAAGGGTTCAATTCCTGGTGCCCGTGTGAGAGACCTGCATTGGGTTCCTGGCTTCCAACTTTGGGGAGTGAACTGGTGGATGGGAGCTCTGGTTCCCTGTCTCTCAAATAAAGAAAAATGACATCTCTCCAGAAAATCAATGTGTTTTTAAGCTTTTAAAATTTTGGATGATGTTTACATAGTTGATCAGTGTGGGAAGGATAGAGGGTTAGGGATAAGTGGGTGTGATCATTGTCTCCAAAGTTTCTATTCTTCCTGTTTCGGGGGAAAGGAGGGGGAGATGAAGGGAGAAGCCATATCCAGCCTCCCAACCGGCCCAGCACCCGGGATGGGCAGCAGCCACCTGATATCAAGCCAGGTTCCCAATGTGGTGCGTACACTCTGAGGGTTCTGCCCGGGTGGTTTCAGTAGTTCTGAAATGGTGTCGATCTTGCTGACCCAAGGATGAGGAAGCCCTACCAATGTCTGTTGCCTGACACAGTCGATCTTAGAGTCTCCATTCACCTGGATTTTTGCTATCCTCGTTTGGCTGGGGTAGTTGTCCATTTGTTCTGTTCTCCGTCCTCTGCTATGGACCAGATGTCCTCTGCAGGTCTCAATGGGCTGCCATAGCCTTCATGTGCATCAGCGCCTGCCGTCCACTTGCTCCATCTTTTCCAGTGAGGAGGACAAGTTCTCACAGCAGGCCCAAGGACCTGGGCTCCTCAGGACCCCCTGCCAACGGTTTTTAAAAATAAAAATTCAGTTAGCAAACATGTTTTTCCTGTTAACAGCCATTGCACAAAGTGATGGCAGTTGTTCCTTTTTAGTGCTGAGCTAAAATCAGGGCATAGTTTGTGGACTACAGAGCAGCTCCGGTCTACTGAGACAACAGGATAATTTATATGAGAGGAAATATATCAGGGCCATACCAAATGTTGACTTTTCAGTGCAATTTTGGTTGGATGTACAATTGAAGCTTTTTCTCTTGCACCAAATATTCAGACTTATTTGACGAGTCAGAGGAGGAGAGACAGAGAGGAAGATCTTCCGTCCAAGGATTCACTCCCCAAGTGACAGCAATGGCCGGTGCTGTGCGGATCTGAAGCCAGGAGCCAGGAACTTCTTTCCAGGTCTCCCACATGGGTGCAAGGTCCCAAGGTTTTGGGCCGCCCTCGACTGCTTTCCCAGGCCACAAGCAGGGAGCTGGATGGAAAGTGAAGCTGCCAGGATTAGAACTGGTGCCTATATGGGATCCCAGCACGTTCAAGGCGAGGACCTTATCCATTACGCTATCATGCCGGGCACACTGAGTCTCAATATATCATGGAGATGTTGATGTGTGCACCTGGACCATTTGTAATACATAAGCTCTGTTCATTGTCCTTGGGAACTTGAAGGACAAGCTTGTCTTCCCCTCTTGTAAAACACAGCCCTCATTTCAGTTTATAGGCTCTGTTACAGTGTCCCATGGGGCAGGAACTGGCAGTTCCAACAACAGACTTTAAGATCAGGGTTTCGCCAACAGGAGCCCAGGGGCAGGGTGACCACAGGGGCCAGCACACTGTGAGGCCAGAAAGGGAGCACGAGAAGAAGGCCTGGGTTGCCAGAAAGAGATGTTGGGGTGGCCCACGCTTTCCAAAGCTTGAATCCTTTTGTAGCCGCTCTGCCTTGAACTTCTCTAGGGACGGGGGCACCTGCTTTCTGCTAGAGTGGTCTCTCCCATTTGGACATGAATAAGGACTCAGGCTGCGATGTTGTGGCCAGTGAGGAGGGAGGTGATACTGCAGGGCTTCTTCATGGTTTGCTCTTCAGCGACCCCCGTTGGAGGGTCCCCTGTTGGGGGACCTGCCTGAACGTCTGTGATGGAAAGCAGTTCCTTTGGTCTTGCCAAAGATCTGCTTCCTTCCATTTCCCACATGTCAGTCCTAGCTGAGGCCCCAAAGAACAAGCAGCCTGGTGGAACCTTCTCAGTACTGCCAAGCATTCCTCATTGGAAACAGGATGGCTTATGGTTTCCAAGGCTTTGCTGGTTTGGGCCCTGGATATATACTTGCTGCTCTTCCCTCTCTTGTATGCCCCCCAGGACAGAATACAGCGTGTGCTGAGGCTGGGTGGGGCTGTTATCTGCCTGAGTGGAATTGACTCTTGTTCTGATACAACTGAAAGTTTCTCACACTCATTTGGCTCTGCTGCATTTATTATTATATCATGGACTTAAGTTGAATTTATCATCAGCCAAAACGTTAGCATTTTTCTCTCTTAAATTTGCGTGCAGTTACCAAGCCACATCTCCCACATCCTGCAGTTGTTGATAAGAGCTTTAAATCTATAGATTTCAGGTTCTTTTTGATTATTTTTTAAAGCCACCTTCTTCTCTGGGTAACTTGAACCTTCTTCCCTACACAGCATTCAGAGGCCTTTTGACAGCATCCGAAATAAACTGAACATCTGGACCAAGCGAAGAGCAGCGTGGTTTCTTGGTTGGTAGGAGAGAGATTGGGCCGTATCCCAGCTGTGTTCTGCCCCTCTGCACTGGGAAATGTGGCCATATGCCTTGGGAAGGTTCTTTTCCTCACATCTCATAAAAAATAGCTGTTGTTCGTGGAAATCGTTGCTCGCGTTCATTCCTGGAATTGTAGGACCGGGGGAGCTGGCAGGTATTTCACACCACTCCCTCCTTTCTTCATTTTTTTTTTTTTTTCTGTTTGGAAACTAAGACTGTAGACAAAGAAAACTGTTCAAAATTACACAAAACAAACTGATTATAGAGGCAGGCTGTAACACAGGCCCCCTGTGACGTGAGGGATCCTGCCCGTGTGAGGCCGCCTGGTGTCTGCCCTGGCCCTCTGAGTTTAGCTGTCCTGGAGCTGGAGGCTGTCCTTAGACTCCCCCAGCGTATGGGTAGACACAGCCCCTTCTGATGCCAGGCTGCGTGTGGCAGTGACGCCAGTGATGCCCTCCCGCGTTCACCAGGCCCTTCACTGGCAGTCGGCCAGAGAGTGCTGGGAGTCCTCCCCGCCCACGTCACAGGTGGCTGGAGACAATGAAATCTTCTCCTGCCAGGTCCTTCGGATGCCAAGTGGGGCCAGTTTCCAGAAGCTTCTCTGCAACTGGAACTCCAGGAGGCCTTCAGCTCAGAAGTGCCCGCTGGTAGTGGGTGCTGGGGTGGCGATCAGGGGCCTGTCCCTCCTCAGCGGGTATCTGAGACAGATTCGTGTGGGGTGGGGTGCGGACCCTTACAGGCGGGCAGCTGTGCCAGTTTGCCCGGGGTGGATGATTTTTATTGTGGTTTTCATTGTGCATGTTCCTTCCCGGCCCCACCCCTGCCGACTGAGTACAGATTCTTGAAGGGCAGGCAAGTGAGTCTCTCACTGTCCTCGCCCTCCCGGCGGCTGGCACTGCGCTCAGGGGATGTGTCTAGGTTCAGACGGGGTGTCTGAGGAGAGCTGTGCTGCTTTGCTCCTACCTGGCTGCAGCAGGCAGGTCAGTTTCTCTTCTGGAGACTGATTCTTTGTCTATGAAGTGCGGGACCAGTGTGACCTCTGAAGGTCCCTTTAGCGATAAACTCGAGGACTCCAGGGGCCTCCGTGTCCTCCCTGTGTGTCTTAGAGAAGCGCCTGTTTTCTAGAATAGCTTTACCGGGAGTCCCCTCAGGAGACACCACCGACACCCTGCTTCCCCAGCACACGTCGGGAAGGGTCTCTTTTGTCACCATCTCTGAAAAAGGAAGACAGCGTGGGAGGGAAAGGCGGGATGCTGGAAGGCCCCCACTGGAGCAGCAGGAGACAGATTCACAAGAAACTTGTCATAACAGATTTACTTAAGCAGAGATTTAGCGTGGCGTGGGAGCCTTCAGAGACAGAAACTCCAGAGAAAACCACTAGGTTTGGTGCAGCGTGGCCAGCTGTGCAGACACGTGGTGGGGCATGGGGGTGATGTCTTGGGACTGGACCAAGGAGAACGACAAGGCCCATCTTTTCTTCTTCCTTCCTCCCACACTTAAGGCAGGATCCCTCAAAAAAGGAGGGTCCTCAAAACAGGAGGAGAGTCACTTCTTAGGCTTCCCGGCTGGCTGTGGGTGAGGACGTTCTAGCATCTGGACGCGCAGCGGGAGGAGACATTATCCCGTCTGTGACTTGCATAAGGGGAGGAGAAAGGATCAGAGACAGGAGGGCAAGAAAGGGCAGATGGAAACCTGGCTTCTGAGGCCTACTCATCTCCTTTAGTTCAGAGTATTCAGGATGTCAAGGTGCCATACTTTGGGGTGCCGTTACATGAGCCCCAACAAGGAGTCATGTGGAGACATGAAGACAAATGCCAGGAGTGGCCTCGGAGCTGCTTTCTGCTGCTGTTTCTCAGACGTGTAGCCAGGAAAGTTTCCCTAAAGAATACAGGATAGGTCTGAGGTCATGGCTGGGAGCAGGAAGAGGAGGATGCTGTTTGTGGCTTTGGGACCCAGTGGGCAGTTTGATCATATCCATGTTCAAAAGGGATCTCTTACAAGATACTTTAATGAAGGAAGGGAACTGAAAGCATGCATGATAAATGCTGACCTCCCATCTTCCGAGGGCTGCAGGAAGGGATACAGGCTCCTATTGTTTGAGGGCCCACAGGTCAGCTCCCGGGAAGGAGCAGTTAACTGGGCCCCAGGAGCAGGGCGGCTTCCAGGAAGCACTTATCTGCATCATCCCCGCCCCTGCCAAGTCGCGCCTCACCTCTGTTTTGTTCAGGTGCACCACGACACATTAAAACATGTGTGCGTGAGGCTCAGCCCGGGGAGGCTGAGAAGCTGTAGCCAGGCAGGCTCGGGCAGCCGGCCCCTGTGTACTTTGCCCCCTTTCCATTTAACCTAGTCTCTGCCACTCTGGTTACCTACTTAATCCCCAGTGCAGCTGTCACAGTGAGCACCTGGGACCATGACTACTCCTGCCCCAGAGCCCACCATAGACATGGAGCTCAAGGCCCCCACTGCTGCAAGTCCTAACAAGGGTGGTCCTGTCTCCTCAGCTACCATGTCCACACAGCGACTGCGGAACGAAGACTACCACGACTACAGCTCCACCGACGTGAGCCCCGAGGAGAGCCCATCGGATGGCCTGAGCAACTTCTCCTCCGGCTCCTACCAGCGCTTCGGGGAAGGAAACAGCACAACGTAAGTACTGTTCCCTTGTCGTGCCCCCCATCCCCACGTTCCAAGTCTCCCTTAAAGCGATATTTCCTCTTCTATTTTACTAATCTGCTCCCCAAGTTGAAAATGAGATATATACAAATATATACTATATATAGTATGTATAAAAGTATATATGTGTATAAAATACAAAAGTAAGATAACGAGATTGGGCGGTGGTGGCCCCCGAGATGGGCACTCCTTGTCCATCCCTCTGGTCTCTTTTGGCCCTTTGGCTTTGCCATGTGGTTCCCAGAAGGTGGGCGCCGAGTAAGAGCCCAGACTTCAGCCCCTAGAGGTGACACTCTGGATTTAGCACTGGGCGTCCCCTGAGCTAGAACCTCAGGTGTCTCCAGCCCAGCCGGGGCAAGCTCCTGTGCAGATGGGGAAAGCTCCATCACTTGGCTGAACAGGTGGGAAGAGGGAGGGACACTGCACGTAACAGAGTTGGCTGATGCAGAGGAGGAGATGCACTTTGCATGTCCTAAGGAGCAGTTGAATGTTGCCTATGGAGACTCCAGATTTCTCTGGACTGAGTTTGGCCCTCCTTGGGCTTCATTTACCCCCCTCACCCAAATAAGAAAACCTGAGGACCCCCTCCCAAATGAAGCTGTGCTTACTTTGGGGTGCTCAGCACTTGAATTAGAGAACTCAAGGGTAGGCTTTCTTTGTTGTTCCCCAGCCTCTTGCCAACCATAGAGGATTCTGACAGCTTTCAGGACCGCAGTGGCCCTTCATTAAAGCAAGCCTTCCATTTGCTCCTCAAGCTTAGCTTTTCTGTCTTTCCTGGTATGTCGGGTGTGAGTGGCTGAGGGGTTCCTTGTGTCCTGGAATGATGTGCCTCCCTGTGACCTCCCAAGGGGCTCCTGGAAGCTTCCCAGTGGACCCAACTCCTCACTGAGGAAGCCCCCTCTGCCTGCTCCAGTGCAAGGCTTTTCTCTTGTGAACTGCTGCAGATCTCGGGCACGTGGTCTGTCCACAGGACTGGCCCCTCGCCACCGCTAGCTGGTTTCTGCTCGCCAAGATGCCAGCTTCGGAAGGTCATTTCTCCTGCAGCATGCTTTTACAGATTGTTCATGTGCTTGCCTTGTAGTTGGTGGAAAATATCTCGCCTCTCTTTGCTCTAACTGTATGCATCTGTCAGCATCCCTGGACAGAAGCGGCTCCAGACACTGTCAGGTGGCAGCGTCCCTCCGGGGGCCATGCTCAGGATTGTGCGATACTCCAGCCTTCTCCCTCTGCAGTTTCCCCTTCCAGTTTTTGCTCCTTTTGTTCTCAGGCATCGACACTAATGTGCAATAGTTGAAATATGGGGTCTAGATTTTGATTTTTCAAAAATTTTTGTTTATTTTCACTTTATTTGAAAGGGGGAGAAGAGAGAGCAAGAGAGAGAGAGAGAGACTTCTTCTAACCACAGTTGAACCTCCAAATGCCTATAACAGCCAAGGCTGGGCCAGGTTGAAACCAGGAAGCTGGAATTCCACAGCCGTGTGAGTGTCCGGAACCCAAATTCTTGAGTGATCACCTGCCTCTCAGGGTGTGCAGTGGCCGGAAGCTGCGTCACCTGCAGGGGAGCCAGGGCTCAAACCAGACAGCACGAGTGGCATCTTAACCACCACACCAAATGCCTGTGCCCGGATGTGGATTTTTAGAGCTTTCTCGGAAGTGCGAAAGCAGCCACCTGGGGGCTTCAGAGCAGAAGTAGCTCGCGTGTGTTGGACACGTAGAAGCCGAGTCATGCCTGTTAACAATTCTATCTCTTTTTTTTTTTTTTATCATGTTTAGTTCTTGATCCACATTTACTTCCACTGGTTTGTTATTAGCTCAGCAAGTTGGAAGGTGCCTTCCTTGGGCTGTTTTGGGCCATTTTCCGGGGCATTCTTTGTTCTGAGGTTCCCATCCTGCCCTGATGCTGTGTTATATAAAGTAGGTGACCAGGGAAGCCCAGCTATGAGATATTGCAGGTATCGCCACGCTGATCTGGGTGATACAAGGGAAAGCACTGCTCTGGAGCTTGGAGCGTTGGCTGAGCATGTTAGCAAGGGACGCAGGAGCCACATGAGCATTTATTTGTATGATACACCAAATACACTGAAACTATAGGTTGATTTGGGAATCTCACTAATCCAAGTGAATATCTAACATGCAAAAAGTGTCGAGCTTTTTGTTTTGAGTTTCTTTTTTAAAATATTTATTTATTTTTATTGGAAAGGCATATTTACAGAGTTAAGAAGAAACAGAGAAAGATCTTTTCACTGGTTCACTCCCCAAATGGCTGCTGCAGCCAGAGCTGAGCTGATCCAAAGCCAGGAGCCAGGAGCTTCTTCCAGGTCTCCCACCCAGGTGCAGGGCCCAAGGCTTTGGGTCATCCTCGACTACTTTCCCAGGCCACAAGTAGGGAGCTGGATGGGAAGTGTAGCAGCTGGGACATGAACCAGTGATATGGGATCCCAGGATATACAAGGAAAGGATTTAACCACTGAGCCATCATGCTGAGCCCATCAGATTCCTTTTCTGTTTGTGCCTTGTCTCATCTGTTCCATAGTTTGCCAGGAAACAAAGTGCATAGAAGTGCTTCTCAGCCTACTGGTTGTTCAGTGAGTCAGGCGTTCTGTAAAGTTCTCAGCTTAGGGGTTGCATGTTGAAGCCTCAGCCATGCGTGTGGTGTTCTGTGAAGTGGTGTCCTAATGTGTGTGTGACAGAGCTGTTGACTGTTTGGACAGCAGTCTTGGTGTACGCAGTTAGGCCAGTTTGTTTCTCGTTGTCCTTCTGAGTCATGTAGTAACAGCTATTGTTTGGGCCTCCTGCTTCTTCCCTGGGCTGGCAGGTGGAGAAGCCAGCTGGCAGATTCTTGGTTTCTCTGGATGAAGTGGAGTAGCCATTTGCCACGTGTGGTCTGCAGACCTGCTGGGGTTCCCAAGACTGTTTCGGGGAGCTTTGGAGGACAGACCTGTCTTCATAGTAACACCGAGACACTGTCTTTTCACTGTGTGACACATGTACTAATGATGCAGAAGCAGTGTGGCTAAGGCTGCGGGCACTACAAGAACTGAGACAATGGCTTCACGTTTTACTAATGTGTTTGCGAGGAAAAAGCGTTTCACTCAAGGATGTCATGCATGGGGCAGTCAAATTACTGATTTCATTAAATTGTGACCATTTAGAGCAGGTCTTTTAATATTCAGTGTGGCAAAAATGGGAAGTAAATGTGAAACAATTCTATCTGCCAAAGACAGTAACCTTGGTCATTACTGAGTTGTCAGTAGATCTTGAGCTCTTTTTTTTGTTGTTGTTCATAAAACACTATTTTTGCTAGCCCAAAATGAAAATAAATCTTAAAAATAAGATATTAAGCCATCACCTGAAGAAAAATATCCAGTGATTTTATTTATTTCAAGCAATATTAGAAAACAAACAAAAAGCCAAACCTCGAACTCTGGTGTGAACTTCTCAACTTCTCTCTACTTGAAAGCTCTTCTGATGAGACAAGTGGTTTATAACCACCATTTGGATGTAATTTTATTTAGAAGTTGTGTAATGAAGGGAACTAACATTTGTAAGTTCTTCCTTAAAAAAATTTTAAAAATAAGATATAAATAATAATAATAAATAAGAAAAATAAAAAGAAAAAAAGATAAAATGTAAGTTCTTCCTTAACTTCATAACCAATATCTTCTAGATAACCAAGGTTTGATGGTAAGAATTTGCACATGGGCCGAAGAACCCCCCAAGAGTAGTATCAAGAATGAAATCTGATATAGGGGCCAGTACTGTGACCTCGCCAAGTAAAGCCACGACCTGTGGGACCAGCATTTCATATGGGCGCCAGTTCAACTCCTGCCTGCACTACTTTTAACCCAGCTCCCTGCTCATGGGCCTGGGAAAGCAGCACAGGATGGCCCAAGTACTTGGGTTCCTGCACCCACTTGTGAAACTGGGAAGAAGCTCTTGGCCCCCACCTGCTAACTGACCCAGCTCAGGCATTGCAGCCATCTGGAGCATATACAAGGAATGGAGGAGCTTTTTCTGTCTCAGATGATGTATTTAGCTGTGCCTTTCAAATAAATATTTCAAAACAAAGAGAATGGGTTCTGATATAATAGCATATGCAATTGAATCCTAAGAAACAATCCTATATTCCTTTGGGAGTAGTGTCAAGTTATCTTAGTTGTCCAGAGATGCTTAAAATTCTGCTTGCTGGGCCTGGCGTGATAATGGTTAAGGTCCTTGCCTTGAATGCGCTGGGATCCCTCCCATATGGGCGCCGGTTCTACTCCCGGCAGCTCCACTTCCCATCCAGCTCCCTACTTGTGGCCTGGGAAAGCAGTCAAGGATGGCCCAAAGCCTTGGGACCCTGCACCCTTGTGGGAGACTGGGAAAGAAGTTCCTGGCTCCTGGCTTCAGATCGGTGCAGCACTGGCCATTGCGGCCACTTGGGGAGTAAATCATCAGATGGAAGATCTTCCTCTCTGTCTCTCCTCCTCTCTGAACATCTGCCTTTCCAATAAAATAAATAACTCTTTAAAAAAAAATTCTGCTTGCTTTTCAAAATGATGAGCCCAGTGTTAAAAATGACTTTGAATCAGATTGTAGCATTGACATGGAAAAATGTAGGTGAAAATGTGGTAACCATGAACTCTGCTTTTCTATTCTCTACGTTTTCAGTATCCATTCATAGTGTTTCAAATGTCCCTTCCTTTTTAAAATTTGTGTCTATGAAAACACATTTTCTGCTAATACTTCAACCAGAACAACTGTATCACAAGAGACTGAGTGGAGAAGCAGACAATCTAGCTGCCTGAAACATGGAAAAGATCTATTACAACAATAACAAAAAGTGCTATTCTCATCAGATTCTCTCTCCATTTTTCCAAGGCAAAATTATTTTTTATTTAAAAATCTGTTATTTATATTAACATGTAACCTTACTGTTACATATTTAAAGTTTTTTTTTTTTACTTTTAATTTTTAATATACTAAATGCCAGTAGATAGACTCTATGTAAGCAAGAGCTATTTGGAGCCCTGAATAATTTATCAGCTCATAAGGAGTTCTGAGACCAGAGAGTGTTGGAACACTCCTAATGGAACAGCAGCCGGACTGTAGAGACCCCCGACCTTCCTGGCCCTCTGGGGAAGGAGTCCACACTCACGGTGAATTCCTGGCGGAACCCAGAGTAGATTTGGAGATGCTCACACCGTGTTGAGTAACCCCGGTGTGGGGCCATCTGTTGAAAAGGAGAAGTTTGGTCAGTTGCCTAGACTCCTGGTTTCCCAACTGACCCTGACCGTGAGGTTTGGCCTTGTCCTAGTCCAGGTCCCTCATTGTGCCCTGGAGATGGGAAAGGAACTCCCCCCACAGAATCAGGGCAGAGCCAGGTGCTCAAGGGACCTGCTGTTCTGTGAAACCAGCTCAGAGGCATCTTAGGCAGATCTTAGGTCTAGTACAGACATTCGCCAAACCAAGAATTTCACAGGCCCACTGTCTCTTCGGCCTCCGGGTGTTGCTAACATAGGAGTCACTGCCAGGTCCCTGACATCCGGAGGCTCTTTCCAGGAAGAGTCCTGGAGAGTGGGTCTCCTGTTCTCACTCAGAATCCATGTCGTATCCTTGGTCTTTCTGGGAAGAGGCTCGGGAATTGGGTGCGGCCAGGTCTGCTCAGTGGCCTCTCTGTGAAACAAGGGCAATTGCATTCAGTTCTCCTGGGCTGCAGATTAGAAGAATGTGTGTGAGTACTAAGGCTGGAGGATTTAGGGTCTGTATGTGTAAAAGAGTGTTCAGAAACTGCCAAGGGCCAAACCCTGAGTTACTGGGGACAAAGTGAACTGCCTTTGAGCTTGTCCTGGAGGTATCAGAGTAGAGAAGGCATCAAGGGCAGGAGTGCTCTGCTCCAGCCCCTTGCTGTGCTCTCTCCCTGCACAGGCTCACCACGCTAACCCAAGAATTCCTTCTTAACATCACATGGTTCTGTTAGCATCTTGTCACCAAGCCCATGCCTTTGCCTTGGGGGGGTCTTCCTTCCCAGGGCCCAGTCCCAGTGCCTGGCTCTGTACAGATTCTCCTGCCAGGGGCTGCTCCTTGCCTTTCCTGAAGCCAGGGATCCTGCTGCTTTGGCTGTGTGTTCTATTTCCCTGAGACATTGGTTGCTGCAGCCTGAATTCTGTGTCTGATCCACACTTATTTCCCATGGCAGTTAGCACAGTGTCTCATGCAGGATAGCTGGCGTTATCTAAGTGAACGAAACAAAGGGGGAAGTGTGAAAAGCATTCCAGTTGTGGTGGCTAATCAGGACTGTCTGTACAGAGAAAAAACCCTGGTTCCAAGGCAGAAAGATAAACCAAGTGACCCTTCTCCGACCTCTTAAATCCTTGAGCTCTAGGGCATAGAACTTTATTTTTTAAAAAGACTTATTTATTATTGGAAAGTCAGGTTTTTACAGAGAGAAGGAGAGACAGAAAGATCTTCCATCTGCTGGTTCACTCCAAGTAGCTGCAACCAGGAGCCAGGAGCTGCTTCCATGTCTCCCATGTGGGAGCAGGGTCCCAAGGCTTTGGGCCATTCTCTACTGCAGGAAGCTGGATGGGAAGTGGAGCAGCCAGGATACATCTGGCATCTTATGGGATCTCGGTGCATGTAAGGCAAGGACTTTAGCCACTAGGCTACCATATAGGGCCCAACCTTTATCATTAATATTATCATTACAGAGTATTCCAAGGACTTTTGACTTCTACCGTGTTCACTTGAGTTCAGCTCTCTGTTTCCGGATGTTTCCTTTTTCTCTCACATCAGTCTCTGCCCACTGTGGATGGCTGCGTGTTGCCATCCTCTGGCAGCTTTGGGCATCCCAACAGGGGTCAACTCAGTGGCTAGAACTTGGCCCCGATGATACCAGGAGAGGTGGGAAGCCTGGAGAGACCCCCGTGCCCTCTGCTGGCCTCTCTGAGAGAGCAGGGGCTCCAGAGAGGGGAGGTCCAAGCACTTGAATGCATGAGTCCTTGGTTTGAATCCCAGCTCAACCCTGTGTGGCCTCGCTGGGTCCTCGTCCATACAATCCCCTAGGGTGATTAATGGAGGTAGATAAGATGGTGCCTGCAGGTGCTGTATGCTTAGCTCATTTTTCAGGTCTGCTTTCTTTCCATTTCAGATGGTTCCAGACCTTGATCCACCTGTTAAAAGGCAACATTGGCACGGGACTCCTGGGGCTGCCTCTGGCAGTGAAAAATGCTGGCCTCTTGGTAAGAGCCCTCCTTGTAGCAGGACACATTTTAGGAGATAGTGGTTTGTTTTTTTAAACTTACTCTTAAATACAGACGCTATTATTATTTTTCTGAGAAAATGCAAAATTCAGATATTCATTCATCTAAGAGGCTTCTGTGTGCCTGATGCTAGTCTAGTGCTTGGACTGTATTGGTGAATTAAACAAAGATTCCTGCCCTGATGGGGCTTGCGTGGCGGTGGGGATGATATAAAATGTCTCAGGCTGTTCCTGTCAGTAATGGAGCTGTAAGTTAGTAACTGAAGTGTCTGTCTGTCTGCTCACTGGACAGTTTTCTCCACAGTGTCCCCAAATGGCCAGCCTGAGGATCGCCCTTCCTTTGTACGATTCACATCCCACGGATTGCCTGGCCGAGGCCATTCTGATTTCTTTTATACGGTGGAGAATGGCTCAGACATGTGGACGTAGTCCCTGGCTACGTGCTTAGCTTTCTTTTTCTTTTTTAAGTTTTTAATTAATTAATTTTTATTCATTTAAGAAGCAGAGCAACTGACAGAGGAAGAGAATGAGAATCTCCCATATGCTGGTTTCCTTCCCAAATGCCCACAACAGCCTGTGCTGGGCTGGGCTGCAGCCAAGGCCAGGAACTCTGTGACTTGGCTGTAAGCATGGCGCTCCTCCCCCTCCTGCATCCCTTTCCCATCTCTCCTTCCTGCAGTGTCACTATGGGAGCTTCTCTCCCGTCGACTCACAGCAGTGGCAGAGCAGGCTCACCCGGAGCCCTCCCCCGTCCTCCCCCTGCACAAGATGAACCTTTGGGAAGGCATGCTGGGGTTCAGAGAGCACCCGTCTCTCCCCCTGGGCTGGGCCAGAAGCCCTGGAGTGTGTCTCAGGAAATCAGGTGGCTCCCTCCTAATCATTCCTGCTATCTCCCTCTTCTGTCCTTCCAGATGGGTCCCCTCAGTCTGCTGGTGATTGGCATTGTGGCTGTGCATTGCATGGGGATCCTGGTGAAGTGTGCCCACCACTTCTGCCGCAGGTGAGAGCCCTCTGCGCCACCTCCGAGGGGCCCTTGTCCTTTGGGGTTCTGAGTGAGTGCTTCAGGCAGATCGTTCATGATCCTTCTACCAGCCAAAGATGGTTCCTTGTGATCGCAGCCTAGCTTCTGGTCACTTTTAGGCTCTTTTGGGGCTTGCTGCTATCTGTCAAACATGCAATGTCCAGCATACAGGGACCATTCTAATCCTGTGTGCTCAGTGATGTCCACCCCATTGCCCATTGGGACACTTCTTTTTTTTTTTTCTGTTAAGTCTGTTTTTAATTTTTTTTTTTTTATTTTAAATTTTATGGCACAATTCCATAGGGTCTGGGGTTTTCCCCCACCAAATTCCCTCCCCACCAACTGATTTTCCCAATATGATTACAATAGCGTAGTCCTTTATAAGCAGTCATATTTAAGTGTTCCCTGACATTGCTGGTACAGACAACATCAGACAGTCCAGCATCCCATTGTCTAGATATGTCCAACAGTTTCATTGGGAGTCCATCTTTGATTTGGAAGTAGGGACACATACTGCATTGTATGCAGGTTTATATTGCAATTCTCTAAGCACTCTCCATACTGATTTCCATAGTGGTTGTACTAGCCTACACCTACACCAGCAGTAAAGGAGGGTACCTTTCTCCCCACATCCACGCCAGCAAGTGTTGTTAGTCAAGATCTAGATGTAGGCCAGTCTCACTGGAGTTAGGTGGAACCTCAGTGTGGTTTTCATTTGTATCTCCCTGACAGCTAGGAAGCCTGAGCCTCTTTTCATATGTGTTAGCCATTTGAATCTGTTCTTTTGAAAAATGTCTGTTCATTTCCTTTGCCCATTGGGACACTTCTACCAGATGACGTGGTCATAGTGATAGTGACAGTAGCTGAGCCATCAAGAGCACCAGTTGCAGGACGTGGGCTGGTACCTCTAGACTGCTCAGGGCTCATGAGGGGCCACTCGCCGAGTCTCTGTGGTTCCGTTTGTCCCGCTGCTGCCTCTGTTGTTGTCCAGCCCTCACACTTTGCCCTTCCTCTCTCCCAGAATGAACAAGCCCTTCGTGGATTATGGGGATACGGTGATGTATGGACTAGAATCCAGCCCCAGCTCCTGGATCCGGAACCACGCACACTGGGGAAGGTACCTCATTCTCTCTTCTTTTGGCTGTGTCCCCAGGTGTGGAGACCTTCAGGGAGGGACAGCGGTGTGTGGACCAGTGGACTTGGGTCCTAGCTTAGTTCTGCTAGTGGCCAGCTGTGCGGCTTTGTGCTCTACAACCCTTCTCTTTTAGGCACCTCAGTTTTCTCATCAGTAGTTCTCAGGACCTGGCTGGAGCGAACTCTGTGGACCATTCTTGCACTGGCAGATTGCCACCAGTGGTTGTGTCTGTTTCACTCATTTGTCTAACATGTATACTAAAGCACTCTTTTCTGAGGGGCCCTGAGTAGTTCTAGGTGGGGAGGGGCGATGCCCTGGGGTGAACCATGTGGTCCTTGCCCTCCGGGGGCTTGAAGTCTGTGTGAGGAGAAAGATGTGAGGAAGGGGAAGCCATCCAGCGGAGGAGAGCTCAGCACTAGTACATTTTTCTGAATAAGATAGGAGGGCCTGTAGTGAAAAGTCAGACTCAGGACTGCCTCCAATTGCACGGGCAGCCTTTTGCTATTTTCTAAATGTGCAAGCATACACATGTTCTTAATTTTAATTTTTTTGTGGAACAAATTGACCACACTATATATACTATATAATATTATGTCATTGTGTATTATCATATATAATGTATTATATATATGTAGTGTGTATCATATAGTTCAGAATCTTGCTTCTCACTCTCAGTTGTCTTAAGATATTTTTTCTGCAGTACCTAAAGAACTAGCAATGCATTCTTTCTTTTTTTTTAAACTTTTTTTTTTATTAATTGCATTGCATTATGTGACACAGTGTCACATAGGCACTGGGATTGCAATGCATTCTTTCTAACTGCAGTGTAATGCCCTTTAAGAATGGCGTATAACTTCACCCGTTTCCCCTCGATAACCATGGAGGTTGTTCAGCGAGCTAGCTGTTTGGGCGCATCTGTTGTTCTGTGCTACATTGAGACCCATTGGTTGCTGGAGCCAAGCTGTAGAAAGAGGCAGTGATGGCTGTGTAGGGGCAGGGTCCCTTTCCTGATCTTTTATGCCAAGGGCTCCCTGCAGCTTTAGTAAAAAGGATGAGATGGGATCAGTGGGCAGGTGAGTTGGTGGAGGCTAAGGGGAGTGGGGCAGAGGTTCTCGTGTCAGGGTTCTGATCTGGTGAGCCCCGATTCTACACAGTGTTCTCAGCAAGCAATCAGGAGGGGACCTCTGAAATTACACAGAGAGTGCCTCACTCCACGTCCTTCAGGTGCCCCAGGCCAGTGGCACTGGCACGGTTCTCTTCTCCTTGGGCATGCACACGCTTGTCATCTGCCTGGATGTGATGGCTTACGGGCCTCTGGGAGACTTGGTTTCCATGGTAATGGTCTTTGTGTTCCTCCTCTCACCATCTCCAGGCACGTTGTGGATTTTTTCCTGATTGTCACGCAGCTGGGCTTCTGCTGTGTGTATTTTGTGTTTCTGGCCGACAACTTTAAACAGGTAGGTAGGGTCCTGGTTGAAAGAGGGACACACAAAGGGAGAGGAAAGGGGGAAAGACACATAGAAATAGACAGAGAGCAGGAGCACGAATGAATGCGACAGGAGGAGGAAGAATGGCAAGACAGCAGTGGAATTTTGGTTGAGGAATCCTCTCCAAGCTGGTTTCAGTTAAGGTTGTAACATTTGACTTATAGCAGCATCTTTTTCTGGTCCCTATCCAAAGACATAGGGCCAAGAGAAGTTTCAGGATTGTTTGCCCTCGTGTCCTGGGTACAATACCATCAGACCCAGCTCCAAAGGCTGGGTTGCAGATGCCAGTTGGAGCTCCCCAAGGAAGGAAGGCAGCCACAACCAACTCTAGGGCCTAGTTGGAAGCTTCTTCCAGTGGGAGAGACTGGCCAGCCTCCTTATCATTTCAGTAGCTTTTCCTTCTCCTTGCTTGTCCTGGTTCCAGGTGATAGAAGCAGCCAACGGGACCACCAACGACTGCCACAACAATGAGACAGTGGTCCTGACGCCCACCATGGACTCGCGGCTCTACATGCTCTCCTTCCTGCCCTTCCTGGTGCTGTTGGTTTTCATCCGGAACCTCCGCATCCTGTCCATCTTCTCCCTGCTGGCCAACCTTTCCATGTTAGTCAGCCTGATCATGATCTACCAGTTCATTGTTCAGGTATGAGCCCGGCCCTGCCCTATGCTCACCCTGAGTGATCAGTGGGACAAAGAGAGAAGTAAGTGGTTACATTGGGTTAGAGGCTGTTATCCTGACATCATCCTTGGTTAAGGGCACCTTTCTGCACTCTGCTGGATGTTTAGTGTCCCAGGTCTCCTTACAGTAGGTGCTGGGGCAGCTGCTCTGGTGACTGTGATGGCCAAAACTATCTCCAGACTTTGCCTGACATCCCTTGGGGCAGGTGGCCTCTACTGAGGTCACTATTTCAACATTTTTTCTAATTACATTGTTAAGGCAAGGTTATTGGATGCAATTGAAAACTAGGGGAAAATATCTCAAGATAAAAATTTTGGTTTTCTAACTTGTATTTAGATTAACATAATTCCTTAACAACTCCATTTTAGACTTTACTTGTTGAAATTATAAGTCTACTTATTGTAACAAATGCCTTTCCATTCCCCTCCCACCTGATCCCTGCCCCATCACTTAAGCCCTGCGACCAGGTTCGTGGGGAAGTGCGAGAAAGAACAGTTGTATGTGGTGAGGTAGACCAGCAGGCTGAGCAATTGTTTCTTTAAGCATAATACTTAAGAGCGAAAGCAGGTGAAGAAAAACATAACTTAAAAGACAATATTTTAATTTAATTACCCAAATAATTGATCAGCACATATTCATTAAAATGCAGATGCCAGAAGCACTTCTTGGAAGCCACATCCCTGCCCCAAGTCTCCTCTCTGAGAGAGACTACCCCATGTAGCTGATCGTACATTTAGTACATAGGGAAATACAGAACATGATGTTCTGATTTTAAGTTTTTAAATGCAGTTACAATGTTCTCTCTGTGTTGTTCTGCCTGTATCGCCTCTCTGGGTTGCCACACTTCCACCTGTCTGTGCTTCTTCCTTCTTTCTGGTTGCTGCATGTCGCAGGAGCACACAGGCTGTGGTTCCCCAGTCGGTGGGTTGTCAGGCTCTCTGTGATTCAGTTGAAGACAGTCAGTACTTGTTGGCAACGCCTGCGTTGCCACGTACCCCGAGCCCCGAGTCGAGCGGAGGGACTAGGGTTATGAGACAGACAAGACAGACAACACACAACACACTGAGACTTATTCCTGTGAAGTGAGGCCTTTATTCAAAGTCAAACTCTCTTATATAGTCTGCTTGGCCCTTCCCAGGATCTTCCCAATGGTTAAGCAACACCTAAGCTCCCCCAAGGAGGTGCAAAAAGGGGAAGCGGGAAGGAGGGAAATTGCAGTCAAACCACGGGGGCTAAATGTATCAGGCCATCATTGCCCTTCCTGTTACACCTTTGAGAAACAAGCTATGCTGTGGAGTTAACCCTTGGGAGACTGGGGCCTACATCCCAGCTCCTCTGAAATAGGAGGCAGGCGCACCAACTGGTAGCATAACCGGCTATACCAGGATGCCTGTTCCAGGAATGATCTTTTTGTATGTAAATGAAGCTTTTCCTACTTAGTTGGTTGGGTTGTAAGCCAGGAGCAATCCAGGTGTCCTTCCCACAGTATCCCCAGATATATATTGTGATATATATTGTGAGTTTCTCCATGTGACACCTCAACCTGTTCTGTATGTGACCCGGGCAGTAGTTACTGCCAGCTAGCTAACAGCACCTGTTTCCAGGGACAGAGGTATGCCTGACTCAGGAATAATTACAGGCCAGTCTCACTCTCCAAACACTTACTGGTCTATCAGGTATGGAAATGTTTCTTATAAAGCAGTCTAATTTCCTTAGCCAGGGGCCCAATAAAAATAGTTCTCTTTTCATTTTTTATTTTTTTCAAGAGACTAAACCACAGCTGCTTTGAAATCTTTCAAAGAGAAGCCTGCCATGGAGGTTAACAATAGGCCTCTGTCTGTCTACCTGTTGTTATCCTCAAACTGAGCTTGCTCTATGTTTATTGAAATATCTGTATAGATATTTTTATGTTTTTAAGACTGATTTTTAAAAATTTATTTGAAAGGCAGAATTACAAAGAAAGGAAGAGACAGAGAAAGAGAGAGAATCTTCCATCTGCTGGTTTACTCCTCAGATGACCACAACCACCAGTTCTGGGCCAGTCAGAAGCCTGCCAGATGCTTCTTCCAGGTCTCCCATGTGGGTTCAGGCTCCCAAGGTCTTGTCCCATGCCCTGCTGCTTTTCCAGGCCAGAAACAGGGAGCTGGATCAGAACTGAAGCAGCTGGGACTCAATTGGCATCCATTTGGGATACTGGTGTAACAGGCTTAACCTGCTATGCCACACGCCAGCCCCAGTTAAAGCAATATTAAAACCTTGTGTCCTAGTCTGTTTTGTGTTGTTGTAAGAATGCCTGAGATTGGGTAATTCATGATGAACGAGGCTTGGTTTGGTTCATGACTGTGAGCTGGGAAGTCCAAGACTACAGCACCAGTGCCTGTTTGGCTTCTGGGAAGGGGCCTGGTGCTGCTTCCCAGCAGTTCGGAGGGCAGAGGGGTGAGTGGGTGGCCCACACAGGACAGGGCAGAACATGAGGGGGAGCCACAGTAACCAATACACTCCTCCTGAAGGAGCGAGAACTCAAGGGGCTGGAGCCATGGCAGGCTAAGTCTCCACCTGCAGGTGCTGGCATGCTGTGTGAGTTCAAGTCCAGGCTGCTGCACTTCTGATCCAGCTTCCTGTTTATGGCCTGATAAACAGGGCTTATGGCCCGTGTTCTTGGGCCCCTGCTCCCACATGGGAGACCTGGAGGAGGCTTCTGCCTCGCAGCTTTGGACTGTCCAAGTTCTGACCATTACAGCATTTGGAGAGTGAACCAGCAGATGGACGCTCTCTTTCTCTTTCTTTCTCTCTCTCTCTTTCTCTTTCTAACTGCCTTTCCAAAAATAATAATAAATACATACTGTTTTTTAAAAAGCCAAATTCTGTCCTCCCCATCAGCTTTTTTAATGCAAGCTGTTGCTGCCGACTGTTGCTCAATGGTGGGAGAAGTAGGGTTCCGTGGCCGTGCATCTGGACTTGCACAACCTTATGGAGTACCTGTGGTCACCAACTGCCTTGCTGTCTTTTTTTTTAAGTGCTTATCTATTTATTTATTTTAAAGGAAAATTTTTTAGATACACTAAATTCTCAGACAGAAAATGTGTAATAATCACTATAACACAGTTCGCATATGAATGTGATATTAATACAAAGACAACAGATTCCATGTAGTTTGTAGATACAATTCTGAGACTCTAATGATACTTCCTTGATTGTCTTTATTTGTTGTTCTTTTTAAAGATATATTTACTTTTATTTTGAAAGATTTATAGATAAAAGGAGAGACATAGTAGAAGATACTCCATCTGCTGGTTCATTCCCCAAGTAGCCACACTGGCCAGGGCTAAGGCAGTCAGGAGCCAGGAGCTTCTTCTGGGTCTCCCACATGGCCGCAGGGTTCCTAGGCTTTGAACCATCCTCTGCTGCTTTTCCAGGCCACAAGCAGGGAGCTGGAAGGGAAGTGGCACAGCTGGGGCTTGAAAGGGATCTCAGCACTGGCAAGGCGAGGATTTAGCCCCTGAGCCTTTGTGCCAGGCCCCTTTTGTCTTCCTTTAACTTGCCTAGTTTTAAAGTGCTCTGTGTGCTATTTTTTTCCCCCAATACTCCTATCCATGTTGCCTTTTGACATTATCTTTCAAGTGTTGAAACTCATTGACAGAATTAAAAAAAAAAAAAGAAAGAAGGAAAAGGAAAATTGCTGAAGTTGACTGGCTTCCCTTCCAGCTGTGCCTACGGGACGTGTTTATGTAGTTGTATCACAGTGGCTATATAAATGTAAACATATTTTTCTCTTCATTATTTCGTAAGCTGCTTTTTATGTCCTGCTTGATCACCTCAGGTTTTACTTTTTTAAGCCCACATAATAGTCTGCAGTGCAGTTGATGCGTGGCTAATTACTTGAGTGACTTGTCTAGGAGCATTCAAGTTTTCAGTTCCTTTGTTAAGTAGCTTTTTTCATCTTTTGATTTTTTTTTCCCCACTCGGGGCTAGGACTGCCTAGTAAAAGCATGTGACTCTCCTTAGGCAGTTCCAACATTTGCGTTTTTAGTAGAGCTTTGGGTAAGACTCTCCCCAGAACAAGCAGTGTCTTTCTAACCTGGAGAGAAAAAAAAAAACACCAGGACTCAGTGTCGCCAAGTCGTTGGTCAGAAACCACATCCTTTCCTTTAGATTCCTGGCCTCGGCTAAAGGTACAGCCTCTCTGGTCGGGGGTTCAAGTCTCAGACCCGCGTGTAGCTTTTTGCTTTATTTCCTTCTCGCTTCCAGGCCATCCCAAACCCCAGCAACCTCCCCTTGGTGGCACCCTGGAAGACCTACCCCCTGTTCTTTGGCACAGCTATCTTTGCGTTTGAAGGCATCGGGATGGTAAGACTGGCACTGTGCCCTGGTATCCTCTCCGTCTCCTTTAGTATGCAGGAAAAGCTGCCCGGAAGGCTCTGTGGAGGGCAGGGGTTGTGACGCAGGTGAGTGAAGTCACCATGTCGGAGGGTGGGAGTTCCAAGCCCTGGCTGCCTGCCCCTTAGGCTGTGGTGTTTGTTGGTTGGTTGTTTGGTTGGTTCCATCCTAGCTGATGCTGCAGACAGTGGCTCAAGCACTTGGGTCGCTTCCACCCATGGGGGAGACCCAGCTGGAGTTCTGGGCTCCTACAGCTTGCTTACCGGTTAGTTACATGGTCCCATTCAAGTTTGCCAGCTCCAGCTTTCACACTTGACTGCTACCTAACTAATCAATTGTTTTAACATTCCGGTGCCCTCTTGGCACTGTCGTCTGTGTATGCTGAGGGCGCAGCACCGGGCAGTCCGCAGTGCAGGGTGTAGAGGCGAACTGCTTTGGGGCAGCTGAGTGACCTTGTGAGAAGGTCGCGCCTCTCAGCCTTGTTCTCTCCCGGGAAGTGAGCACAAGGACTAGGAGTTGATTGCATTAAGTGATATGTTTTGGGTTTTTTCTAAATTTCGTTTCTTTTTCCTGTTGGAAAGGCAGATCTATTACAGAGAGAAAGAAGTTCTGTCCACTGGTTCACTCCCCAAGTGGCCGCAGTGGTCAGAGCTGAGCCAATCTGAAGCCAGGAGCCAGGTGCTTCTGCTGAGTCTCCCACATGGGTGCAGGATCCCAAGGCTTTAAGCCATCCTCTGCTGCTTTTCCAGGCCACAAGCAGGGAGCTCAAGGGCAAGTGGGACTTTCCCAGTTCATACACAGGGCTGGATGGGAAGTGGAGCAGTCGAGTTATGAACCAGTGTCCATATGGGATCCCGATGGGTGCAAGGAAGGATTTAGCCACTAGGCTATTGTGCCAGACCCATGATGCATTTTTAAAGTGCTGGGCATAGTCCCTGACACATGGCAAATATTAAATACATTTTTATTTTTCTTAACAAATGCTGATTTTATTCTGTTAAAATATTATTTGAGCTAGAGCTCCAATTCACTGATTCACTTCCCAAATGCCTGTAGTGGCCCCAGGCTGAGGTCAAAACCAGCCAGGAGCTAGGAACTCAATACAATGTATGAGTACCAAGGCTTGCAGGCAGAGATGTTCTGTAAGTATCCTTGTTTGCAAACTTGTGTATTCCTCTGTAGCTTCCATTTGGGGGACAGAGAGAGAGAAAAAAACACTGCTATTTAGGGGTCTGGGTGAGCTGCTAGGCTGCATGCTGTGTCCAGTGTGCCTTCTGTGTCCACTCTACTGTCCCAGGCCTGATGGGACACCAAGGGGAGGGCTCCCTGCCCCCCACCTCATGGTACTCCTGTGTAAGGAGAAGCTGATGGACGAATTTAGAAGCAGCTTCTCCCTTGGGTGTGAGTCAGCTGAAGCTTGAGACCCTGGAGAGGATGGGGGTGCTAGGGCCAGAAGCAAGGGCAGAGCTCTGGACTCCTTCCAGGGTGCTGGGCCTGCAGCAAGAACACGAGCCTCTGGTGCCTCATGGCCGTAGGTGGGAAGTGAATGTTGTAACGAGAGCAAAAGACAGTGTGTGGGGCAGTGAGAGACTGACTGGTGTCACTGTACCAGATTCAGCTGACAGCAGATTGGGACATCTGTCCCCAGGTCTTCTTTGCTGTACCCCAGTTCCTAAATGAACTCACCTAAGAGGCCTTGCCTTTGCTTCACCAGGATTAAAGTGTGGCCACCATTGGGACCCAGGAGGCAGCAGAGGGCACTGGCTTGAAGTGGGGATGTGGAAACAGGGCCTAGTGAAGCACCCTGTTCTCGAGATGATGTGTGAAGTCAGGGAGCCTCTGTGAAGGCAGGATGCCTGTCACTCAGGTTTAATTGACACTGCTGGTGCCTGTCGCTGTGGAGAAGTTTCTGAGTGTTGGAGAGAGTTCTTCCTCACCTACATGTCCCGTTCTTACTCAGATTAGCAGGGAGCTGCAGCCTGGGCCAGATACCAGGTGGGCAGTGCTGCAGAAGGCCTGTTGGTCTCCATGCATGCAGTGCCAAGGACGGGATGCTCCCAGCCCACAGAGGGCAGCAGCACAGAGCCAGCCTGGACCTGGGGTCCTGGGCTGTAGTCCTGCCCACCCTGACCTCAGGTTTTTCTGTTGAGGCAGGGGGTCCTGACCATACAACTGCTGTTGAAATCAACAATCAGTTTGTATGGTGAAGAGTGCACAGGTACAGGGAGTTCTGTGGATGAAGAAGTTATTTTTTCTTCCCCTTAGGCTGTGGTGTTTGTTGGTTGGTTGGTTGGTTGGTTGGTTGGTTGGTTGGTTTTTTGCTTTGTCTTATGTCGCTTAATTATGCCTTCCCACCCCCCCCCCCCGTGCTTTCTGTTTTTCACTCCTGTCTCGTAGGTTCTGCCCCTTGAAAATAAAATGAAGGATCCCCGGAAATTTCCAGTCATCCTGTACACAGGGATGGCCATCGTCACCACCCTCTACATCAGCCTGGGGTGCCTGGGCTACCTGCAGTTTGGAGCTAAAATCCAAGGCAGCATCACCCTCAACCTGCCCAACTGCTGGTACGTCAGGGAGGCTGGAGACCTGGGGCAGTGGGCATTTTTAAAACTTGGTGAGTCAGAATGTGGGTCATTTCTCTAGCTTGTCTCTTCATTCAGCCCACCACCACCCCAGGCCCTGTCACCACGTATCAGCTACCCTGAACTACACTCTATGCACAGACAGTTCTTCTGAGTCCGGGTTGACTGGCTGACAAATAAGCCATTTCTCCTGGAGAGCCCTGAGCCCAAGGGGCCTAAGTGTTTGCTTTGGCAGGCACAGGCTTAATGCACAGTTGGGCCATGGTTATAGAGCCCAGGTTGTGGGGAGTCCTTTGTGCCCCTCTTTCATTGGTGAATATGTCATGAGGAAGCCCTGAGTCTTGCTGAGGTGCTCCCCAAGAAGGTAGACTTTCCAGGGGGTGTGTTCTCGGCCACAGTGTGTCTTGAAGATTAGAAACTCATCAGTCCCCGACTGTTCTCTACCGAGGTGATGGTAGGGATATCCCTTGCTGGCCTGGGGAATCAGCAGTGTCCTGGGGAGTGAATCATGAGGAAGAGAGGGCAGACACAGTGGGGCGCAAAGATGCAGCGCGCTCCTGCCGTTAGTCCTGAACAGGCCCTGTTCGGTTCTGGAGAACAGATGGAATTGGATGGGAAGCATAGAAACAGGCTAGCTGGCTTGTCCATTTTAGTTTTCAAGGGATATAAGCCTGGAGTCCATGACAGAGGTTCAGAATGTTCCAGAGAAATAGAGGGGATGCTGAGCTTTCACCCAACCATCTCTGTAGCCTCAGTGTTCTGATTTCCACAGCCGACCACATTCTTGTGTATTGATGTTTCTTTCTGAGATGTTTAGTGTCTCTGAAAATTGGAGGAAGAGGGTGGAGAGATTTTTTTTTCTTTCTTTTATTTCATTTTATTTGAGAAGCAGTTTTCACTCACTGAGGTATTCCCCAAATGCCCACAATAGTCAGGGCTGGGCCAGGACTGCAGTTGGGGACCAGGAACACACTCCAACATGAGTGGCAAAAAATCCGATTACTTGAATCTGTGCCCTCTCCACCACCCAAGGTCTGAATTAGCACAAAGAAGCAGGAATGAAGGACCAGAATGGGGTTTCAAACCCTGACGCTCCAGGTGGATCGTGCATATTTTGAAAGATTTATTTTTATTATTTTTTCATTGGAAAGGCGGATATACAGAGAGGAGAGACAGAGAGGAAGATCTTCTATCCGAATCATCCGATGATTCACTCCCCAAGTGAGCGCAACGGGCCGATACTATGCCGATCCGAAGCCAGGAGCCTCTTCCGGGTCTCCCACACGGGTGCAGGTTCCCAAAGCTTTGGGCCGTCCTCGACTGCTTTCCCAGGCCACAGGCAGGGAGCTGGAAGGGAAGCAGGGCTGCCGGGATTAGAACCGGCGCCCATATGGGATCCCGGGCGTGCAAGGCGAGGACCTTTAACCACTTGCGCCACCGCGCCGGGCCCGATCGTGCATATTTTGAACTGCATCCTTACTGCTATGCTAAACATCTTGTCCCTGTTTTATAGATAGATTGTAGCTGTGTACGCACCATGATTTTTTCACTTGATAGATTTATTTAAGAGCTCTATGGGGACACCATGATTCGTTTTGAAGGGTTTCCCTCTGATTAGCATGTAAATTGCTTTTTAGTCATTCCTTCTTAAACAATGTCACAAGTGGAGTCTTCCGAGCATAAGTTTCCAAGCACATATGCAAATGCGTCTGTGAGGGAAATGGTATGAACCTGTGGAGCTGAAGAGCAGGTGTATGTGTAAGGTGATGCAGGCCTTGGCAGCATGCTGGGGTGTGCTGGCTCCATCATGCCTACGGGTGCTGGGAAGGCTTCTGAATGCGTGCTGGCTGTCTTGGCAGGTTGTACCAGTCGGTTAAACTGCTCTACTCCATCGGGATCTTCTTCACCTACGCGATCCAGTTCTATGTCCCAGCCGAGATCATCATCCCCTTCTTCGTGTCACGAGTGCCCGAGCACTGCGAGTTGGTGGTGGACCTGTTTGTACGCACAGTGATGGTCTGTCTGACATGTGAGTAGAAGACGAAATCATTGCTTTGTCTTTTCTCCTTAAGGGGCTCCCGGTCCCCAGGGCATACATGAGAAAAAGAGTGTGTGTGTGTATTGGGGTGACACCATCTTGACATATAGGCAGGAAGCCAGGCGTTTTATCTTACTTTCAGGTGAAACATATGCAGCCATAAAGTGAATTAATGATACATGCTAATCAACACATACTAATCAACATAGCTTGATAGAACTTTCCGTGGAGACAGTCCTAATTCAGATTACTATCCCAAAGAAATTAAGGTAAGGGGTAAAAGCCCTTTTGCCCACATATATAACGAGTATGGGTATTTGGTGGGGGTGCGTATTTGTTTTCAAATAGATGTTTTTTCCAGTATGAGAATTTCTTATCAGGCTTGCTAAATAGGTGTCTTAGAGAATGTCTATCAATTAACCCATTTCTCATTTTATATTTTATTACAATTCCTTCCCTGACCTCATGCCAAGTAATATGACCTGAAAGACAGGATATTACCCTATTTGATACTGGTTGAAACTGACAAATGAAAATAGTAAAAAACTCTTCTGGCCACTTCAATGCATTGATAAGCTAAAAGTTCAATTTCTGAAGGAATTTCAATTGTTTTCCTAACTGAAATATTGCAAGCGTAGATTTTTCTTCAGTTATATTTTGCTGCTGCTTCTTTCTTTCTTTTTTTTTTTTTTTCTTTTTTTTAAATTCATTCTTTTTGGACAGGTACCTCTTGGCTTATTATACTCGGATTTCCCCAGGAGATTTTAATTGTGAAGTAAAGATGGGTCTGTGTGATTGTTTTCTTCCTTTAATGGAACCAGCATTGGATGTTTTAGGGATGAAAACTGTGACTGTGCCCAGAGCATCTGAGTGCAGTCTGGGAGGTTGCTGGTGGATTTCTTGGACGACTGTCAGTGGAGGGCAAGGGGAGCAAGAGGCCGTCCATTCTCTTCACCCAACCAGGCCAGCGTGCGGAGCGGACTCCTGTCCCAGAAGCTACCGCCGAGCCGCCTGCGGTTCCCCTCCTTACCTTAGTTGAGGACAGTGGGTGGAAGCGCAGCATCCGGGATCTCGCGGGGAGGAGCGCACCGGCCCTGATGCAGTGCAGGCCTTTCCCTGGCCTGGCTCCGGTACTGTGCAGCTCAGTCCTCCCAAGGGCTTCCTGCAGGAGTGGAGCAGAGGCGGGCAGCTCCGGAGAGCTGATGGCACCCGTGACCCTGGCTCCTGGGTGTAGCTTCTGTTTGGCAGACTGCAGGCCCTCTTCTAGACTGACTTACAGAAACAGCCTGTGTAGCAACCAGTTCGGGGCTGTGGAAAGCCAGATGCTGTTCCATGTGACTGGAAGGGAAAGAATATGATCTATCTTGCTTCCAGTAAGCTGACTTAATGTGTTCATCCTGTTGTCTGGCAGCAACTCTGCATGCCTTGATTCAAGTACATGTGAAATATATTAGTGTTCAGCTAACATGAGGAAAAAGCTTACACACTATTCATAATGTGAACTCCAAAGACTAAATCGTTGAACCTGAAGAGCATTGGAAAAGAATATGGGGACAGTTAAATAAGCTGCTTTTCTTTTTTCTTAAATCCAAAGTGGGTTTTCTAAAAAAAAAAAAAAAAGTAGGTCAGGGCCAGTGTTGTGGTATAGCAGATGGAACCGCTACCTGTGAAGCTGGAATTCCATTTTGAACACCAGTTCACGTCTTGACTGCCCTACTTTCAGTTCAACTCCCTGCTCATGTGCCTGGGGTGGGAGGTTGAGGGACCCAGATGGAATTCCCGGCTCCTGGTTTAAGCCTGGCCCAGCCCTGACCGTTGCAGCTTTGCAAAATGAAATCTCTCCCTCCCCCGCCCTCTCTCCCTTTCTGTAACTCTGCCTTTCAAATTAAAAAAAAAAAGAGAGAGAAAAAGAAAAAGTAGGTCTGTCTAGGTGAAATGCTCTGTGGCTGCCAGTCCCTGCCCACCAGAACTGGGGCAGACATACCGCGCCTGCCTGCCCAGCCTGGCTCAGCTTCCCTGCAACATATGTCTTGCTTCCTGCCGGGGTTTTTTTCTGTCGCACACCCCCGCCCCCAGCCAGACTGCAGTCTGATTCATGGATCTTGTGCTATCTTTGGATGCCTCTCGGTTTTGCTCCCCTTTCCCCAGTCCTATCTGTGGGTCTCCCTCCCAGGGAAGGATGCTGAACGGCAGCTTCTGAAGGGCAGACGGCAGTGCCTGCGTTCCCCCTGCTGGGATCTGTAATGGCTGAGCCTTGCTGCGGTGTCTTGTTCAAAAAGGCAGCCTTTTCATCTCTGAGAAGAGATGCGCTTTGGCTTCTCGCACCTTCTCCGAAGTGATTGTGGGAACAAGGGAGGCGCTTAGCAGCACCAGCTGCTGTGTGTGTGGGAGTTTGTGAGGTGCTCCATGTCCGTTTGGCCTTTCAGCGCAGGCTGCTCTATGAATTTAGATATTTGATGTCACTGGTTACTTTCACTTGTACCTGTTATCTTAACAGCAGTTTGCTACATCGAGGTCTCTGGTTTTCTCCTGTCTTCTCTCCCAACTACATCCAGGAGGAACTGGAGGATTTGGTGCAGTCTCATTTTTTTTCCTCCTTGGAACTGAACTGTCTCACTGCTCTCCCACACACCCCACTTTGCTGTGGTTGATGCCTGCTCTTTGGTGACCAGTTGCAGACTGTTGAGGAGGCGGGGAGGGAAGACAAGCAGTTTATGTAATACTTCAACAAGGTGGAGGAATCCACCATGGGGGAGGGTACGGGGAGGGGTCAGGGGAATCCCAGAGCCTATGAAACTGTGTCACATAATGCAATGTAATTAATTAATTTTTTAAAAAAAAGCAGTTTAGAAAGTGGTTTTTATTGTGTTAGGACTGTATTTCCCTCCAGCCCCTAGTGTGGAAATGTGGGTTCAGCAGGCCTGGAACTTGCGCAGAGCAGAGGCTGGCAGCTGGGTGCTGGGAGCGGTGATCTCGCTCTCCCTGGGAGAGTACCAAGACTTAAGAGAAAATTTTTTGTTCCCAATTTCTCAAGGCATTAACTTGGCCTTTCGATGTCTCTTACTAATTCTGTTTGGCATTTGTCGCGCGCAACATTTTACTTCAAGTTAGATTTTGAGAATTTCGGAAACCTGTCATTGAAGATACAGTGTCAGACTGTATCCACCAAGAGGCCAGGTGTGCATGACAGGACATGCCAAGGGCTCAGGCTTCTTAGAGCGGGAAGCCTCCTGGTCCAAACTCAGCGGTTTCTCAGGATCTCTGGCCTTGCTCGCTTCTCCATGGTGCAGCTCCTGGGAAGAAGGGCAGTGTCTGTCCCGAGCTGTGCCCCCCTACCTGCCTCAGGGACCCCCACCAGGCCACAGCGTTCTCAGCTGAGAGGAAGGGCAGCTGCACCTGATCCGCGCAGTTTCTCCCAATTCCAGAATTCTGTGATTCTAATATTTTAAGTCAGTCCTTACGTCTCTACAAAGACACTGCTCTAAAAAATTGTTAATGTAATTACATTTGGAAATAAGAAATTCCCAATATCCCACTTAGCAAAACAGGTTTCTTCTGCATTTTGTCTTCTCTCATTCCTCCTATGTACATTGTAACAATCACTACAATCACAATAACTTTGTCTCCCACATTTAATCTCATGTTATGTCATGTGTATACATATCCTTCCTTAATATTCTTAAGACTACTATTCTGTGTGGGTGGATGGTATTTACTTTTTTTTTTTAAGATTTTTTTTTTTTATTACAAAGTCAGATATACAGAGAGGAGGAGAGGAAAAAAGGAAGATCTTCCATCTGTTGATTCAGCAGCCACAACAGCCAGGACTTAGCCAATCTGAAGCCAGGAGCCAGGAGCTTCTTCCAGGTCTCCCTCGCAGGTGCAGGATCCCAAGGCTCTGGGCCGTCCTCGACTGCTTTCCCAGGCCACAGGCAGGGAGCTGGAAGGGAAGCAAGGCCCATGGGATTTGAACCCGTGCCTATCTGGGATCCTGGTGCATGCAAGGCAAGGATTTAGCTGCTAGGCTACCACCCCAGGCTCAGTATTTATTTCTCTAATGTTTAACGTGTAGGTTGTTCCTCTTGCTTTAGTATTTTTTCTGTGTGTGACCTCTCTAAATCAAATTATTTGTGTAAGACCATGGTTAATTTTAAAGGCAAGTTTCTAGACTTTTGAAAGTAGTACAGTGGGTTTTACCAGCATCGATTGCAATAAAACCACAGAAAGAGCTTCCTGCTGCAGGACTTGTGGATGTTCCAGGTGTTTCTGTTTGTTCTTTTAAGTGCACTTCTCGTCTCTTGTGCTTAATTCATCTTTTGCTGATGTAAAACCCACAGGCTCCAGAATCCCAGAGTTCCTTCTCTGAAGTTGACGGTTGACTCTGCATTGCTTCAGCAGTTACAAGACCAGAGGTCTCCCAACCCCAGAGGAAGGCCTTTAGCAATGCCCCTGGAGCCCTCTTGGCTAATCGTGGGGTCTACTTTAGATTGTCCTCAGCAGCCCCCTCTGTCCGTGCAGCAGCCAGGCTCTGCTGAGAGGAGCACCCGCAGCTGGGATGTGTGGTCTTCCTCTTTTCTGTGTGGAAGGAGTGGGGGAAGGGGTGTTTCCATTGGCTGCTTCTTGAGCTCTCTACCTTCCTGATTGTCTCTCTCTGGGGGATTGGGGGGGCGGCTATAACTCACAGAATAAAGATCTAGGGGTCTAAGTTGCTGCTGTATCTTTATGAAGTATTTGTCTGGCTCTCCTGCTCTCTGCAGCCCCACCCCCAACTTCACTGGGTAGAGACTGTCTCTGAATGTCATCTGGGTACCATTCCTCAGAAGGATGGATGTTAGGCACTGAGGCAGGAAAGTCTGAATGTCAAGTTTTCTGGGACCCTATTCCAGTTCTGCTGACCATGCAGTGAAGCCCTGCTGATCTTCCACTTCCAGGGGTTCAGGACTCAGACCCAGACCCAGACCCAGAGATCAGACCAGGTCTTGTCCAAGTGTATCTCGAGCTCTCCATGCTGGAAGAAGCATAGATGGGGAATTTATGGGTCCCTGAGAGGGTCTCTTCTGGCTTCTAGAATCAGAACATTGTGTCCTCTCTCCCTGCAGGTGTCCTGGCCATCCTCATCCCCCGCCTGGACCTGGTCATCTCCCTGGTGGGCTCCGTGAGCAGCAGCGCCCTGGCCCTCATCATCCCGCCCCTCCTGGAGATCACCACCTTTTACTCCGAGGGCCTGAACCCCCTCACCATTGCCAAGGACGCGCTGATCAGCATCCTGGGCTTCACGGGCTTTGTGGTAGGGACTTATGAGGCCCTCTACGAGCTGATCCAGCCGAGCAACATTCCCATCATCGTCAACGCCACCAGTGCCTTTGCATAGTGATCCGGGTGTCTTCTCGGTACCTGCTCCCCTCCACTGCTGTGTGTCCCCCAGCACCCGTCCCTGATCCTTAGGGATGGGCCAGGCTCTGGTGGGGGAAGGGCAGGATTGCTTACTGGGCACCACTCTGCCTGGTGCCTGGGTACCCTAGGCCAGGTAAGACTGAAGGCAGGGGCAAGGTGGGTAGGCAGACACGTGGGAGGTACCACTAGTAGCAGTGCTGTCACTGTTCATTTGTACTTGTTTTAACTCAGAACTTTTCCGCTCTGCCCTCATCATTCCCCCGCCCTGACCAGCCTCACCCGGGTGACTGCACAGCTCACTTTATTTCAGGATGTAGTGGCCCTGACCTCATGTTTTCTCCTTTGCTAGGCCAGGCCTAGATTATCTAAGTGGGATGTCTCCTTGTGAAACAAGGACTCTCCCTCATCTGTCTCCTAGATACTGTTCCTCAGAATTTTCCTTCCTGCCCAAGTATCCGTGGGGTGCTTGCACCTGCCCAGGGCTTGCAAACCTGCGCCCCAAGGATGGGGCCTTGACCCTCCCTCTGTGTGTGTGTGTGTGTCCCGCTGCGACCCCTGGTGCAGAGACCTTCTCTTGGATCCCTCCAGGTGGGACACAATACTGGATTCTGATTTGCTTTAGCTCTTAAAAGACAAAGTGCTGCCTCAGTGGAAAGCATTAACATCGTATTTAAAGTGTAGCTCTTGGTTTTTAGACTCTTAACTGTAAATCTAAGTCACAAGGAATGACTTGCTTCCGTTGTGAAACCTTACCCAGCCTCTCCTGCTCCAGGGAGCGTCATTGTGGGTCCTCAGCGCCCCCTGCTGGAGATCTGGAGCTCTGACTCAGGATCAGCTGCTTGGGGCGGGTGGGAGAGGCTTGTGCTATGTCCCCACCCCCACACCCTCATTGAGCATCTGGCTTTCATCTTGTGAAGATACTGCAGATCTCAGGAAGGACCTGGGGCCAGTAGAAGGATGGTGGCGCCAAGGCATGTCTGTAGGGGAGGCTCCTCATGTGGTATTTGTGTGCATCCAAGCCTGTTTCTCAGCCTCCACCCCAGACAACCCAAAGGGGTCGCAGTATTCCGTTGCCCCCATTGTGGTGGGAAGACACCTGCAGTGGCCAGGTGTGTGCTTGGAGTTGGAAGTGCGATCCATAGAGGTCTGATGCTGTGTGTTGCTCATTTGTTTACAAGCACTAGGGACAAGGGAAGGGACCCCGTGCTGCCTCTGTGACCTGGCCTGGAAAGGAGTCACTGAGCACTAACGGTGACCCCTGAGCTTCCCCCACTGGCCTCCCTCAGTGTCACCTCCAGGTCCGCCTGCAGAGGGTAGAAGGGAAAGGGGATCCATTGCCTTGCCTTGGGCCGCGTCTTCCCTGCGAGTGTAAGGCAGACACGTTCTGTGAGCCCCGTTGTCAGCAATGTGGGCGAAAGCACGGCAGGCAGGGCAGGTTCTCTGCCTCATTTTGTCTCCAGGCCTTCACAACCCCTCACCCCCCCGCCCCCCCGCCCTTGCAGCCCTTCTCCTCCTGTCAGTTAAGGGAGAAGCGGCAGGTGCCTGTCCGGGTTTTGTTCTTGTGTCTTCACCAAAGCTCATCGGGGCTGGGCCCTGCCCTCATGGCCCCAGCTTTTTCTTTTTCTTCTATCGCAAAGTCAGTAGAGCTGACTTCCCGGGGTGAGGGCAGGAAAAGCAGTTGCCTGTGAAGGCAGCAGCTCCTAACCTACCTGATGTCTTACTTCCCTGGGCAGTCACTGGCCTTGTTTTTCTGTAGAATAGCGCTTTCCGGCTCTCCATGGTCTCTGCTTTCTAACAGGTGCTCTTGTGGGACCCAGAGTCTTGCAGGGATTCATGGAGACCCCGCCATCTGACATCTCCAGCTCAGAGGTTACCAGAGGGGGCTCAGAGGCTGTCATCTTCCAAGCTTGGGCTCTGGCAGCTCAGCTGCCAGCCTTGCTGTTGTCCCCAGCTGCCCTGGAATCTGCCTATGGTTGGAAGGTGTGTGCTGTGGTTGGGAGTCCAGGCTTGGGGCTTGCCCGGAGCTTCTCTTGGAGTGTCCGTGTACTTGGAGTTGCTGGAAGCAGTTCTGCCTGCACGAGGGCTGAGATGCTGGCTCCTGGGGACTAGGCAGCAGAGTGCTGGGGTTCTGCAGTTCTCAGCAGAGTGCTTCAAGACACCGAGCCCCAAGAGCATGGCATGTGGGAGAGGTGTCTCCAGGCTTGGGCTCGCTGCAAGCTGGCTCGGCATGGTAGTGCCTGCCAACTTTCCTGTGTGCCTGTCGCCCCGGCAGCCTGGCTGAGCAGCTGCATGGCTTGCAACATCTCTTTTCCTCTACAAACAACCCTGGAGTCTCTGCTGGGGCGCGATCCCCACGGCTTTAGGAGTCTGAGAAGCCCGCCTCATGTAGCCATGGCTGTTTGGGTGCCAGCTTCCCAGCCCTTGTCTGTGCCCTGCCCCCTGACCCCTGGTGAGAAAGCACCAGGCTGAGTAGATGCCTGATCACAGAGCCACACAGTGGAGGCTCCGCACTGTGGGGCAGTGTCTGCCGGACTGGAGGCTAACTGTGGGGTTTCCGGGCAGGCACTGCTGCACCCTGTGTCCCCATACCCAGTTCAGCCGCACATTTCCATGAGCCCAGAAGGAGCCTTCTCAGAGCCTTGTCCTGCTTCCCCCTCTGCAAACACTGCCGTTGGGGGCAGGCGGCTGAGAAGGGATGACCTGGCATTGTCATCCACTTTGCCTGGGAGTTGTCACCCACACAAGTGGTATCATGTAGATTGTGCAGCTGTCCAGCTGCTGGGAGCCCTTCATCCGACTAGGTGTGACTTAGCCCAGCCTGCACCCCTGCCCAGCTCCCCTCGGCCACACTTGCTTGCCGGTGCTCACTAGCCCCTTTACCCTCATGGAAGATAGGGTTCTCATGGTTAGTGATAAATTGCTGCTCCCAAGCAGGGATACTAGAAAAGCTGTCCCCCGCCCCTCCCCCCACTGTTCTCTTACCTTCCTGTTGCTCACTTCCTATAATATCAGTGGATGTGTTTAACACTACATGCTCACCTCATATTTTGGGGAAGTGCAAAAAAGAAATCTCAGTGTATGTCTGTTTACAGCTCTCTGTACTTACTACGCACAGCAGAGGGGTCCGTGCCAGGGGTTTTACTTGATAGCCAAGGAGACGACCAGGCAGGCTCGGCTTTGGCCCCTGTGGGAACAAAGCGCTGCTTCCTGCAGGAGGAGACATGGGGTCATGTGGCAGTAGTTAGTAATTAGGAAGGTGACTTCAAGTCTGCCTTCTAATTTAATTTTCCAAAGTGCATTATGGAGCTCCAGGACCATTAGAAAAGAGGCACGTGGTTTGTGTTTGATGTCACGGTCAGAACTCTCCTCAGGCCCTCTGGTCCTGCTGGTTGTGAGGCTGTTGGCTCTGACAGCCTCAACCTGCTCCATTTCTTCCATTTCCTTTGCACTACCCTAGTCATTCCCTGGCCAGAGGACACTAATGGTGCTAAAAGGAGGCTCCCGGGGTAAGGGAGGTGTGGCAGTGGGAGCTGGTGGGCGAAGGGGAGGGGTGTTGGTGTGGCTGTTTTCATCGGTGTTCTTGCTCACAAAGAAGGTGCTGGGAAGCTGTTTTCTTTTGGTGAACAATAAAATCAGGTGATGATTGAAGAACATGGCATTGGGTGTGTGACTCAGAGGAACGAAAGCTGTCACTGGCAGGTCCTAAGCACCCAGCAGTACCACGTGTGCCACATGCCTACATGGGTGGTACTTCCAGCATGACTGTAAAGGTGTGGATCTTGCCAGAGCTTGTGGAGGGTCTTCTTTTGCTTCTTGCACATGGGTCATGTGTTAAAACTTTTCCCTTTCAATAAAATAATTTTATTTTGTATTTGTGAGAGGTTGCAATCTGCATTCTTTTATAGAAACAGATTTATTTATTTGAAAGGCAAGTTAGAGAGCTGCCTTGCATCCACCTGTTCACCCACCGAATGGCGGCAACAGCTGGGGCTTGGCCAGAAGAAGCTCCCTTTTTGTGATATCAGTGTGTGTGTTTAACACTACACCGGAAGCAAGAGCTTCCAAATCTCCCACGTGGGTGCAGAAAGCCAAGCACTTGGATCATCCTCTGCTGCCTTCTCAGGCACGTCAGCAGAGGGCTGGGCCAAAGTGGAGCAGCCAGGACGCACCTGGCAACCATGTGAGATGCCAGCACTTCAGACTACAATGCCACCCCTCCCTCTCTGTTTCTCTTGTTTTGTTTGTTTGTTTGAAAGGCATAGGACTGACAGATCTTCAATCTGCTGATTCAGTCTTGTTTGTTCTACTTCTCTGTAAGGACTCAGTGGTGTAAGCCAATTGATGGGTACAATATACAGGCCGAAGGCAGGAATCAGGCAGGAACTTCATCTGGGTCTCCATGTACTGGCAGGAGCAAAAGCATTGGGAGCATCTCTTGCATCTAATGCATCTTTCTCAAGTGCATTAAAAGGGAGCTGAATCAAAAGTGGAACAGCTGGAACATGAGCCAGCCCCCGTTTGGGATGCCAGCATCGTTGGCAGTGGTTTAACTCACAATGCCACAATGCTGACTTCTGCGTTTTTGTTTTCAAACCTCATTGTTTCTTATTCTACTCAGGCCCTTTATTAGGTTTTAGGTTGAAGTGCATTTGGCTTTCACCACTGAACAAGAGAACCATTGTCAGCATTGAGAAGTGCCCAGGAAAGGGAACAGAAAATCCTTTATTCTGTTAAAACTTTTCCTGCTTCTCTCAAAAGCGAATGGGAATCAACCCCCCTGTGCATGGGCAATGACCTCCATAAAAGGCATGGCTGTTCAATCCAAGGGCCCCAGGAAAGGTGTTTCATGAAAGTGGCTAACACAGTCAGCTGCCCTTAAGTCAAGGGTTAGTGTCTACCATGTGCCTGGGCTTCTTCCCTCTAACCTGAAGCTTGAAGAGCAAAACTTGGGGTTTCCTGAGGATCTGGCTAAAAACCGCAGCCTTGCCACCTGCTCCAGGGCTGGCAGAGGCTTCGTGTATTGTGCAGATCTCGGGACTGCCAGGCCCCGAGGCAAGGGTGCTAAGTCCCTGAAACCTCTGTTTCTCAGGAAAACTCGTACAATGCCTAATGATCCGCTTTCCACAAATGCAGACACCGATTTCAGGCTGGGAACTTGGACAAGACACTCCCTTCTGCTTGTCACGTGGAAGAGGAAAAAAACAGGACCCCTGTGTGTAATCTCTGAATTACACGGAAATCCTCGTTAGCTCCTGAGCCCTAGGGCACATGCTATTGCCTTTTACCAGAAGAGGAGGTAGATATGTGTGTTTTCATACTGTTTCCCTTATAGATATCAGTTCTGGACCTGGAGAGTGGAGGGCTTTCATTAGACTGTTCCAAACCACCACATTAGAAATGGCAACACTGGGTGCACAACAAAGCTTTCTAGGAAAATCTGCCTTCAGGGGTTGCCGTGAGGGCAAAGTGCTATGAGTTGTTTTCTCAGAGTTGGGGGGAAAACCAAGGTTCAGAAGGGAGTTTTCCTTTGTTGGCTGGCGGTGAGCCCATTGATTACACTCATGTCCTGCTCACTGCTTATGTGCAGGGCCCTGGGCCCCCTGTGGATGTTCCTGTTCACATTCTTACCTCATGGCTGCAATCCATCCTTCCAGGACTGGAGTTGAACCTGGGACTCTGCTATGTAGGCTGGTTGGCTTTTACTCAATCCATTGTGTGAGTACTGAAGAACTGTGTGTCTTTGATGTTAGACCCTTGGTGTTTGGTCTCCGCTCTCTGCATAGTTCGTGTATTACAAAAATTACCCTGTTTGACAAATGCACAGTACCGTGACTGCCATCCCACTCAAGGCCTGGAATACTTCCTTTACCTCCCACAATTCCCCTGTGCATCTATGCAGTTAATCCCATCCCTGTTCCCTCAGCGTGGGCAGCCACTCATCTACTTTTTTCTGGCTCTAGTGTTGACTTTTCTAGAATGTCTCATACATGCAAAGTGTGTAACCCTTTGTGTCTGGCTTCTTTCATTTAGCCTATTCCTCTTGCTGTTACATGTAATGTGTTTCTTTCATTCCTGAGTAGCAGTTCATTATATAGATGAACCATACTTTTTCCATTCATCAGTTGACGTTAGGGTTGCCTCCAGGTTTTAATTATTATGAATAAAGCTGCTGGACGTATCCATGTGTAGGTTTTGTTTTCCTTTTGGACAAATACCTGGGAGTGGCACTGTGGGGTATTAAAGTAAATGCATGCCAAGTATGTGTGTCACCACTTTGGGTTTCCCTCATTGGTGCAAGGGAGCGTCTTTGTATCTTCTATCTAGTTGATGCTGTAGGTGTGAAGTGACATCCCACTAGGATTTTCATCCTTCATGTGTAGTGATGGTATTTTCTTATGAGTTTACTGGCCATTGGTCTATCTTCTTCAGAGAAGTAGTTGAATATTGTGCCCTTTTTAAAATTTCATTTTCTTATTTGCTTTTTATTTGGAGATACAGATTCCTAGGAAGGTAATAGAAAAGTCTAGGAAAGTCATACACACTTTACTCAGTGTCCCCAGAGCTAGCATCTTGCAATAAAAAGCTTTTGTCCCTCATCAAAGCAAGAAGCTGACCCTGACACAGCCTCGCCTTGACATATCTTTAGTGGTTACATGAACTCACTTGTGGGTCTGTGGGTGTGTCTTTGTGTACAGCTCTGGGCAGTGTTAGCATGTAGACACCACCAGCACCTAGTGCTTGGCTGCCATCAGCACAAACTCCCTCATGCTGCCCCTTTGCTCTGCCACGTCCCCTGACCCCTGGCAACCCCCAGTATGTTCATCTCAATAGCTCTGATATTTCACAGGTGTCCTGTACGTTCAGTGATGCTGCTTGTATCCTTTCGAGATTGGTTTCTTCCACTGGGTACAATTCCATTGACTTTGATTCAAGTTGTTGCATATATGAATTTTGTTGTCTTTTTAAAACAGATTTATTTGAAAGGCATAGTTGGAGAGGGGGAAGGACACAGGGAGAAGGATCTTTTATCTGCTGATTCACTTCCCAAATGGCAGGAATGGTCTGGGCTGGGCCTGGCTGAAGTTGGGAGTTTGGAACTCCATCTGGGTCTCACATGTGGGTTTCAGGGGTTCAAGCACTTGGGCCATCTTCTGCATTCCCAGCTGCATGGCAGGGAGCAAGATCAGAGGTAGAACGGGCAAGGTACTATCTCCAGATACTGCCAACTGCACCCTTGGTGGAGGGTAAGAGGGTAGAAACTCCCTCCTGAAGACTGAAGTCTTTGAATGTTTGCCTCTACCTGCCCTTACCTGGGATGTCTTTTTACCCTGACCCTGGAACAAACCAAGTGGGGATCTGCGTCCTGCATGGACACCTGCCTTTGAATAGCCACAGTGAAGCATCTACCATCACTGCATTCACTTTTCCAGCCATGCTGAGCACTTTACAGTATTTCCACTGATGCTTTAATCCAGGGAGGGAAATGCCTGTGGCATCCTCACTTTGCACAGTGAGGCCTAAAAGGCTAAATAATGGGGCTGGCGTTGTGGCCCAGCATCCCACAGAAGAGCACCAGTTGAAGCTCCGGACTGCTGTGCTTCCAACTCACTAATGTGCCTGCAACAGCGTCGGAAGATGGCCCAAGAGCTTGGGGTCCCTGCACCCACGTGGAAGATCCAAACGGAGTTCCAGGCTCCTGGTTTTGTCCTGGCCCGGTCGTGTGGCCATTTGGAGAGTGAACCAACAAATGGACAATCTCTTTCCTTGTCACTATAATTTGAAATGAAAAAAAAAAAATTTCTCCTTGCAGTGGGGCACCAGCTTCACTCCTGTCCCATCTGTTTCAAATCACAAAAATGGGTCTGACTCCCAAAGCCCACGCTGGTCTCAGGAGCGGCCTGGAGCCACACCCCAAATTTGCATAGATGCTTGCCTCCCCAGGTGTGAGCACTCAGCTGATAGCCACGCTAGCACGGAGTGGGTGGGCTTGGCTTATTCTCAACCCTCCACACCACGCTTGCTGCGTGTTCATTAATGCGCTGGCGTCCTGTCTTTGAAATTTCCTTCATGAACGCACATGTCAGGCTGGCCTGGAGCTTGGAATCCTGGCCCTGTTGCTCCTCAGCCCGGTAACTGTTACTAACAGTGTCTAACAATGATACAGTTTCTCTGTTTTTTT